GAGGGGTCAGGAGGAGGAAGCGGAGGACCAGAGATGGGAGGAGAGGGGGAGGAGGAAGGAGAGGGAGAGGGGAGACCAAGGGTCCGAAGACCCGAGACAGGAGGAGGAGACGGCAGCAGCTGCTGCTGCGGCTGCTGCGGCTGCTGCTGCTCCAGCGGCTGCTGCCCCTGCTGCTGCTCCTGCTGCTGCTCCTGCTGCTGTCGCTCCTGCTCCTCGAGCCGCTGCAACTCTCTCTCCTCTCTCTCCAACTCCAGCTGCTCCTCACGAGCACGGCGAACACGAGCCTGGAACCTGGTCGGGTAGGGGTGGGGGGAAGGAGTAGTGTCCGGGGCAGCCCCAGAGTCGACCTCCGAAGCACCAAGCACACCACCCCCAGAGGCAGCACCAACACCAGCTCCAGACCCAGGCTCTCCAGAAACCGAAGGGACACCCTCACCCCCAGACGCAGCACCCCCAGACTCCGCACCAGCACCCCCAGACTCCGCACGACCAGTACCAGCCCCCGGAAGACAAGAGTCCTCTGCAACCCGCGGCTCAGCTCCAACTCCAGCACCCCCAGAACCAGAGACCTGTACAGGGACAGTCGCAGGACCAACCTCCCGAGAGGGAGCACCTGCAGGAGGCGGCGAGGAAGACTGTGGGGAGGGAGGCTGTACAGGGGGGGCTACCGAAGGGGGAGGGCTAGCCTGAGACACACCAGACGGGGCTGGACCAGGGGGGGGAGGCTGTACCGGGGGAGCAGGCGGGGGAGCGGCTGTCAGGAAGAGGGGGGGAGGAGGAACCAGGAGACCTCGACTGGGGTACCTGACGTAGTACGGGGTGGACTCCTCGAAACGGACGTCACGGGAGTCAAAGAACCGGTGAGAGGGAGGGTGGTAAAAGGTGAAGTCAGAGGAGTCCTCAGGGAAACCAAGGAAGACACAAGGAACGGCGCGAGGCGAGAGCTTGTCCGCGGAGGTGTCGCGGACAAGAGCCAAGCACCCCCAGACACGAAACCTCGACGCGACACCAGGGGACCCTGTCCAAAGACTGGTCGGTGAAGCCTCCGGCCGAGAGACGCGTGGCCAGAGGTTCAGCTGGTGCGCGGCGTACCTGACTGCGTATGGCCACAGGAAATGGGGGGCACGGGCGTGAGTCAAGGAGGTGCGGGCAATCTCCATGACCAGGCCTATGCGACGCTCAGCAACCCCATTCTGCTGTGGGGACTCCGGAAGCGTCCAGGACTGACGAATGCCCTGTTCGCGACAGAATCCAGCGAGAATGCCGGAGCGAAACTCGCCCCCGCGGTCGGAGTGGAGACAGCTGACACGACGACCACGAGTGTCCTGGGTGGTAAGCAACCACCTGATCAGCGTAGAAGTCACCTCAGACTTCCTTGCCAGGGGGAACACTGTGGTATAGCGGGAGTAGTCGTCAACGACCACCAAAAAGAAACGCTCACGCTCAGGGCCAGGGCAAGGAGAGGGGCCCCAGACGTCCAAGTGCAGCGTCTCAAAAGGCTCGGTGGCCGGACGAAGGGAGGAGGAGTGAGGGGTGGCACGCAGCCTACCCTCGACGCAAGGACCGCACGGTGGTGCAAGGGACGGCGGCAGCGACGGCAAGACACGCGGGAGACCTAAGACCAGACGCTGACTAGACATAGCACGCAGACGTGGAAGAGAAGGGTGTCCCATCCGGTGGTGCCACAGAACGGTGGGGTGGGCAAGCGACCGACAGGAGCAAGACGCAGCGACTGGACTGGACGCGACAACCTGAGGGGACGGAACCACCTGGTGAGACGCAGGGAGGAGACTAGGGGGAGGGACAGGAACTGGGAGGAGTGGCTGCTGCGACGGCGGCCGCTGTGGCTGCGGCTGCTGCTGCTGCCGCTGCTGAGGCTGCTGCTGCTGCTGCTGCAGTCGCTGCTGAGCGCGCGGGCCAGTGTGAAGAGTGTAGAGACCGGAGCCCGGCTCAGCAGCAAAAGTGGCGAGAGGCTGGTAAGAGTCCCCGTCAACACACACCGCAGTCTCTCCAGAAGGCTCAAACCACACACCCACGTGCTGACTCACAAGGGGTCGCACGCCCACCAAGTTCCGGGAGAACGAGGGGACGTGAAACCCAGTGAGAGACCCAGAAGGAGCAGCCGGACACGGCAAGGTGGTAGTGTGACGCGCGGTGACTGGTCCCGAAGTGGGATCAGCCAGCGCCACAGAAACAGGCGCAGGAAGAGGCGTAAGTGTCGTGCTGTCACGAAAGAAGCAGTGAGAGGCTCCAGAGTCCAGCGTGAACGACAGCGAACCGTCCTCTGAGGTAGCCGCTGGACTAGAGTCTACACAAGAACCTACACTAGCAACAGGCAACTGAGCAAGGCTAGCACCTAAGCTAACAACACCAGAGTAAGCAGAGTCAGAAACACTAGAGTCAACAACAGCATACATAGCATGAGGAGCACCAATCAGATCAACTAACTGCTCAGCAGACATGCCCCACAGAGCGGAGCCGTAGCGCTGAACCAGAGGAAGCCAGTCAAGGGCAGGACCGCCAACCCCGTAGGCCAACCGGACCGTGTCAGTGAGCTGAGCAAAGCACTGACCAGGGGGGTGAAAGCGGCCACAAGGGTGGCCCCGACGAGGACCTGTCAGAACCTGATAGGTGCAGGGAGGGTAAGCAGCACCACGCTGGGGCTGACGCAGCCCCGACCCCGGAGCCAGCTGCTGACGCTGCTGCTGCTGAGGCTGCTGGGAGGAGAGGGGCTGCTGCTGCTGCTGAAGCCGCTGCTGACGCTGAGCCTGGTACCACGCCGCTGCTCCACCTAGCGGGGCCGGCAGTACAGGAGACGACTGACGAGCTCGGGTGTCGCCACCACCAGCAGGCGCAGTGGAGTCACCAGCCGCTGCACGAGAGGTCTCTCCAGACGCTGCACTCCCACCACCGCCAGTCGCAACAGCACCCCCACTACCTCCGCTACCTCCGCCTCCACCTCCACCAGAACCACCTTTCTTGCCCCCCTTGCCGCGGGACCGCGACGCAGTCGTAACAGCAGCTGCAGTCGCGTCAGTAGCGGCAGTGGCAAGTGAGGCAGTGAAGGTGGGTAACTGCGGGACTGTGCACCCGTGGAAGAGTGGGGGGGGCACAGCACCAGAGGCGGCAGCTACCGAGCGAAGGTTGCTCTCGACGTCCTTGAGCGCAGACTCAAGGACCTCAACTGTCAGCTCACTAGGGTGCTTCAGCAGGAGCGCGTCACGTACGGAGGCAAGGCGGTCAGGGAGGCTAGTGGCGATGAAATAGATAGTAATCGCCATGGGGGGAGGAAGCAGTGCAAGCTGTGCCTCAGTGCAAGCAGCGCGGTAACTAGCGTCGAGCGAGCGGAGGTGAGCGATCAAGTCAGCAGAGCGCTCAAACGAGGCGAGATCAGGAAACAGGAACGGGAGGAAAAGACGGCCAAGAGAGACAGTAGCGGGAGTAGAGTAGCGGGCCTTAATCGCAGTGAGGTACGCAGCAGCGGTGCGAACCTGAGTGAAGTGGACCTCCTCTGACTCAGGGAGGAGGCTGCTGAGTGCGATGCAGGCCGCAGCGTCACGCGACGTCCAAGCCGTCCTGTCAGCGCGCTGACGGGCAAAGCGAGCCGTAGCAGCATCGTCAGGGGCAGGACCTAAAGCGGCAGGCTCGGGGGGCTCGGGGAGGTCACCAGTAGCGTGCGACCAGAGGGTCTCGCCCCCCTGGACTTGACTCTCTAACAGACGGCGAGCGCGAAGGAGCCAGACGGAAAAGTCAAGAGGTCTGCCGTCAGCGTCGAAACGAAGAACTCGCGGAGTCGCCATAGCGAAAACTAACGCGAACGAGCAGGCGAGTAACAGCAGGAGGTAAGAGGCAAATTAGGGTTCAGGTGGGACTTAGTCGCAGCGGAAGAGCGGGCTAGAGCGACGGGCCAGGGCGTAGGGTCGACGGGACGGGGGAAAGGGCGGGCACGATGCGACGGGGCAGGGCGACGCGACGGGGGAGGGCGACGCGACGGGGTAGGGAGAGGGCGGCGACGGGGACGACGGGACGGGCAGGACGCGACGGGACGGGACGGAGACGGACGGGGCGACGGGACGGGGCAGGGCGACGGGACGGGACGGGGACGGGACGGGGCAGGGGCGACGGGACGGGACGGGGCGACGGGACGGGACGGGCAGGGCCGCGGGACGGGACGGGACGGGACGGGACGGGGCAGGGCGACGGGACGGGGCAGGGGCGACGGGACGGGACGGGGCGACGGGACGGGACGGGGCAGGGCGACGGGACGGGGCAGGGCGACGTGACGGGGGGAAAGGGCGCGACGCGACGGTGGGAAAGGGCGCGACGCGACGGGGGGAAAGAGCGCGACGCGACGGGGGGAAAGGGCGCGACTCGACGGGGGGGAACGGGCGCGACGCAACGGGGGAAAAGGGCGCGACGTGACGGGGGGGAAAGGGCGCTAGGCGACGGGGGGAAGGGCGCTAGGCTCGGCACTAGGCGCGGTAACAACGGAACCGGTACGAACGAGAGGTAGGATCAGGCTCGGGAGATACGAACGGAGAACGGAGGAACGGGATCCCACAGGATCCTAACCTAACTGATACCATGTCAGAATGAGGAATGGATGATGCATTGATGTTGGTTGGGGTACATATAGCTAACCCTAAGTTTTGTACCCCCTAAGACAAACCTCACTATAGGCTACAACATTTGACAGTGTATTGCTACCTGGCTTCACAGTTTTGGCTCTGGTACTGAAACGAAACCAGCTCGCCAGGAAGCGATCGATTTGATCGGACACACGTCAAAACCGAAGGGCGGATAATCAATCTAATTGAAGGATTAAAGAGAGCAATCAGCAACCGTCTCATCATAATTTCAATATTTGCAACTGCTCTTCAACATTAGCCAATAAGCTCCGTAACCAGCATGCAGGCTGTATTGAGCTGCCGCAACATGCAAAATCGGATCTTGAACTAGCGTTGCTTATACATATCCCTTGACGAGCCTGCAATGGACATTTAATACCAGTCATCATCATCATCTACAAAGCCACCTTTCTTCGGCCCTTCATCCTCATCATCCTCCACATCCTCCACATCGAGTCGATCACAGTCATAGAAGCTATCCACACTCTCATTCGGCCGAATAGTGCCAGACGCATCGGCTGCAGCCTCAACTTGACCAGCAGTAGCACCGGCATCAGAACCAGCAGCAGCAGAAGCAGCAGCAGTTGTGCCATTAGCAGCAGCAGCAGAATCAGCTGTCACTGCAGAACCAGCTGTTCCTGTAGCTCCTTCTGAAACACCACTCCCATCAACTGCAGCCTCAGAAGCAGCAGAAATTGCACCTGCAGCAGCTGCAGCAGCAGCCGGAGGTGCAGCAGGTGCAGAGGGAACAAGTGATGCCATAGCAAAGTCTGCAAACGGATCCTTGTCCTCATCCTTCTTAGCTTGATCTGGCACTGCTGCTGCTGTAAGCGTCTCGAAGACTGGAAGGCCAGAATCGCCGATGGGTCCTGCTGACTCAGCAGAAGGAGGCGCTGACTCAACAGGAACTGCCGCTGACTCAGCAGGTGAGGGAGCAGCAGCAGCAGGAACAGCAGCCTGGAAGTCGTCAAAGGGGTCAACATCAACAGCGCCAGTTACAGCAGAAGCAGCACCAGGTGCTGCTGCTGTTGGTGCCTGGGAGGACAGATCAACGGCCTGGAAGTCATCCCAGTCGTCATCACCATCCACAGCAGTTGCTGCATCTGCAGCTACTGCAGCTGCTGCAGCTACTGCTGGTGCAGATGTGTCCAAAATTCCTTCTCCCACTGCAACTGCAGCAGCTTCAGATGCTCCCTGAGCGAGCGCTTCCACCACCACAACTCCGTTCGCTCCTACCTCCATTGCACCCACCGCATCCGCAACGTCAGCTGCTGCTGCTGCTGCTGCTGGTGCTGCATCTCCACCGGTGCCCTCTGCCCCGTTTGCTGCCAATGCCACCACCACCCCACCAGCACCTCCAGCAGTCTCAAGGCTTACTTGCACGAAATCCTCCTCTGACAATCCTGCTAAATCCGTCCCATCCGCTGCTGCCGCCGCTGAATCTGCTGATACCTGTGCTTCTGCTGCCGGTCTAATACTTTCCTCCGGAGCTGCAGCTGGAGTAGCAGCAAGAACGGCAGGAGCAGGAGCAGCAGGAGCAGCAGGAGCAGCAGGAGCAGAAGCGAAGGAGTCTTCGAAATCACCCCAGTCGCTGTCATCTACAGCTGCTTCAGCACTGGCACCAGCACCTCCTGTCTCTGCTGATGCACTCTCCACTGCACCTGCCACTGCTGCCATTGCTGCCGTTGCAGCTACGACTGGTGCTTCTGCTGCCACTCCGACTTCTGCCTCTGTTGCAGCAGCAGCGACAACTGCAGCAGCTGCTGCTGTTACTTCTGGCTGGATGGTGGTTGAAGGTGGAGCAGAGGAGAAATCAGTGAAGTCTCCAAAGTCATCATCATCCTGTTGGGAGGGGAAATGGAGGGATGAGAACGGATATTGATTGGACAGAGTGGTGTCATTTCAAGAACAAGATGTGAGAAACAAGACAACATGGCATGGCATGGCATGGCATGGCATGCCACCATTTGCGACATGGCATGACATGACATGGGAGACAAGGGTGGATGTATGGACTCATGAGGCCAGGCAGGAAGGGCCAGGAAACAGTCGAGGAAACAGGAGGCAGGGAGGAGTGCGGGGAGGAGAGAAACCGGGGGCTAATGCATTGCAGGCGGGAAAAAGTGGAGAAAAAAAGCATGTTGCACCAAGCAGCATAACCCACCTCATCTAGCGAGTTTGCAGCAGCACTGCTCACACCACTCTCCCTTGCCGAAGCCACCCCCTCCGCTTCCCCTGCCGCCTCTGCCTTGTCCGCCCTCTCTCTTTCACCACCTTCCGACACAGTCGCATCACCATCAGCAGCCTCAGACGCAGCAGCAGCAGTATCATCAGTGGCAGAGGGGCGGGCACTGGGGGGGGCTGTAGTGGTGGAGGTGGAAGTGGTGGAGGAGCGAATGGACTGGAACTCAGTCCACTCATCATCATCCTCGTCATCACTGAACCCTCCCATGTTCCCAGCAGTGGGCAGCATCCGCAGCAGCAGCAGCAGCAGCAGCATTATCAGCAGCAGCAGAGGTGGTGGTGGTGGTGGTAGTAGCTGCTGCAGCGTCTGAGCTTGTGGATGCGGCAGAAAGGCGAGAGGCGGAGAGCTGGGTGAGAGGAGGCGGCTGGAAAGGCGAGGTGGAGGGAGGAGGAGGAGGAGGAGGAGGAGGGAGGGGGAGGAGCGAGAAAGCCTTTGGATGGGGCGCTTGCGGGGAGAGGGATGGGGGGAGGGATGGCGGTGCTGGTGGTGGTGGCGGGGGGAGGGAGAGATGGGGAAGAGACTTTGGCGAGAGGTGGAGGGGCGAGAGGAGCAGCAGGGGAGGAGGAGGCGGAGACACGGCGTTGCTGTGTTTGCTGGACGGAAGACTTGATTACGGTCTGCAGAGGGGGGCAGGAGAGGTAGGTAATGGATAGAAGACAATGGATGGGGAACGGCAAACAGGGAACAACGGCAAAAAGGGAAGGACAAATGGGCAACAGAAAATGCAAATCAAGCAAATGGGGAACAGCAAATGGGGCGCAGGCAATAGTCAATGTGGATCACTGCACAGAGACATGTTTTGAGACGTCTCGAGACATGTTTTGAGACGTCTCAAAATAGTCAATTTGGATCACCGCACAGAGACAGTGAGACGGGTTGGGCTGGGCAGGACGGTCGGGGCAGGGTGGGGAGGAGGGGATGATGGGTGTGGACTATGCGGGGGAGAAAGGAAGGGCAAGGAAGTGGGCAGGGAAGGTTGGGAGAGGAAAAAGCTACAGCAGCAGCAACGTACCTGTAACTTTTTTTTTTAAGATGCAAATACACTATCAAGTGTATATACATCCACAGTCGTAACTGTCTTCTTGGAGGGCATCAGGTTTCGCTAAGAGAGCAACTCCTGTCCCCCCTTCTGCTCCTAAGGCGGTTGAAAGAACGTTCTTGGATTGCGCCATATGGACAAGAAACGGGCCTTCCACTTTGTTGGACCCTCCGGCTCGCAAATCCCCTGCAGTTGTTTCCTCTCATCTTCCGCCACGTGGCACCACCGATCTGGTTTCCTCCCAGCGACATCCCCGTCCTTACTCGTCATCCTGGCCCTGGCTGCCAGCACTACTCTCACGTGCGTCACGAATTCCAACACCGCGCGGCGACCCACCTTCTTCCTCTCGAAACCAACCGCCCGCCATGCAGCGTCACACCTTGCCAGCCACACTTGTCGCAGCACTATTGCTATCAACGTCATTTCTGCAAAGCCTGTTGCCGTACCCCCTCCCTCAAACAACAGGTCCCCCAAGGAGCCCATCGGCCTGCCCGGGTTCATCAGCTGCAGCGACCTCTTGAGCGCGCCAATGACCGGCTGAATAACCGGACAGCTGTACAAGCAGTGCGCCAGGGTTTCCTCCTCTCCGCAATGACCGCAGTTGATCCTGTTGCTGAAAAAATCCAGCCTTGCCCCCACTTGTAAGTTCATGCTGTGAGCTCTGAGCAGGACGTCCCTCGCCTTGTGAGGGACACAGATCGAGTCCCGAGTCGAGATGACCTTCCTCCAGTCAATTTTTCGCCCCCGCACCTCTTCCCATTCGGCCTGTCTCCAAGACCTCCCTTTCTCCTTAGTCAGTGCAGCGCGAACCTGCCGCAGCGGGACCAGGTTCCCACCATCAAATAGCCCCGACTTAGTCAGCAGCCTCGTTCTCGGTCCGCCTGCTGGCCCCACCACCTTCTTCTCGCATACCACGATTGGCCTCACCCTCGCCGCGTCGAAACTCGTCTCCCTCGCACGAGCCGGAGCCTCCAGAAATCCATCGCCGTCAGGCAGGTGTAGCACGGCCTTAACTCTGCAGCCCTCAATACCTTTGATTTCCCATGGGCACGTAGTTGGTTCATCATTCCTAACGTAATCCACGAAATCCGACACCGCCCGCACCTCTTCGGCCGTTACCGGTTCCTCCACCATGGCCTTCCACCCCGCTGGAATGGTTTTGTACGCTTTGATCGCCATCTCCATCGCTTCCTTGCCTCCCAATTCCGCTTTGAGCTGTTCCTCACCCTTCAGCACCCTCCGCCCCCCGGGCCCGTCCATGAGAATGTCTTTGACGCGTTTACCCAGAAGGCTTTCCGTACCCTTCTGCACCCCGAAAGGGCTCTTGCCGCGATGCATGATTCGCCGGTTAAAACACAGAAACTCCTCTTCGACTTCCCACCTGCTTGCAGGCTCCGGCAACACCGCGAAAGGTGACTTCCAAAAGACTTTCACCGCCGCCTTCCACCTCTCACTCCCCTGCTCCCAGCGTCTGATAGCCGCAGGGTGTGCATACAGCGTGGCGAGTCCTTGTGGGAAACATGCGGCCTTCTCCGCCAACCACCGGCGTGTCCCTTCCGGCTCCTTCGCCAGCTTGCCGACAGTGCGAATCGTCAGCCCGTCCAGACAGATTTTTGGGTCTATCTGGCCCAGACCTCCGTCTTTCCTCGGGAGACAGGCCAGGTACGCGCTCCATAAGATGAAGACTTTCTCTTCAGCTGCCTCTCCCCCCGAGACGAAGGCGTGACATAACTTCCTTATCTTGTCCCAGGTTTTCTCCGGCGGTGGGTAAACTTGAGCTTGGAACATCAGCACCGGTAAGACGTAGCAGCTGATTACCGCCGCTCTAGCCGTTGTAGTGATGTACTGCACCTCCCACTTATTCAGCTCTTCCTTTATCCTCTCATACGCCTTGTCCCAGGACGGGCCCGCATCACCACTCGGTGTGATACGTACGTACGTACGCTTGGAACGTACCTGTAACTGTAGCTTGGTGGCAGGGGAAAGGGCGGCGGTGGCAGCTTGTAGTTTGGCGGGGAAAGGGAAGAGAAGGGAGAAGAAGCAGCCACAGCCGGAGCACATACCTGCAACTGTAGCTTGGTGGCAGGGGAAAGGGCGGCGGTGGCAGCTTGTAGGTTGGCGGGGAAAGGGAAGAGAAGGGAGAAGAAGCAGCCACAGCCGGAGCACATACCTGCAACTGTAGCTTGGTAGCAGGGGGAAGGGCGGCGGTGGCAGCTTGCAGGTTGGCGGGGAAGGCAGTGGCAAGGTGCGTGATGAGCTTCACTGCCATGCCTATCACTGCTGCCTGCGTTGGGCTTTGCTGCTGCCCCTCCTGGTGCATGAAAGCCGTGCAAGGGATGGGAGGGAGGGAAGGAGGGAGGGATATGTCTCTTTTGAGTCAACTCAGAAGTGGCGAGGTGCGTGATGAGCTTCACTGCCATGCCTATCACTGCCGCCTGCGTTGGACTCTGTTGCTGGCCCTCCTGGTGCATGAAAGCCGTGCAAGGGATGGGAGGGAGGGAAGGAGGGAGGGATATGTCTCTTTTGAGTCAACTCAGAAGTGGCGAGGTGCGTGATGAGCTTCACTGCCATGCCTATCACTGCCGCCTGCGTTGGACTCTGTTGCTGGCCCTCCTGATCAATGCACGTGGTGTATGGGAGGATGGAAGAGGGGAGGAGGGCGGGGGGGAGGGAGGGAGGGAGGGAGTGAGTGAGGGAGGGAGGGAGTGAGTGAGGGAGCGAAAGAGGCAGGAGGAAACTGAACATATGCGGCAGACCTGGCATTTGACTTGCCCTTCTACATGACCTTCCCACATAGAAACTGGAAACCCCCGGGGGGTGAACTCTCTGTGCGCTCTCCTTGAAACCCGAACCTTCATTACACACAAGCACACGCCCACAACGCACCCACCCACCCACCCACAAGACCCCCCACAACACACGTGCGCCCCACGAGGTATTACCCCGCCTGCTGGCTGGGCCATGGACCCTGCCATGATCGCCGTCACCAGCAGCAGCTCCAGCACCGCCTGCTGCCTCTCCCCACCCGCTGCTGCTGCTGCTGCTGCTGCCCCTGGCAGCTTCTCCTTGGCGTCCGGGGGTGGGATGGTGGAGAGCAGCAGCAGGAAGAGCTTCAGCGCCTCCATCACCTCGTTGGCCGCCTGGGGGGTTTGCAGGTCCTGGTGGGCGGAGGAAGGGAGGGTGGGAGGGAGGGAAGAAGGGAGAGGAATTGGGGGAGGAGGGGGAGGTACGAGTTATTGAGACGACTCGAAGCAGGAAGAGCTTCAGCGCCTCCATCACCTCGTTGGCCGCCTGGGGGGTTTGCAGGCCCTGGTGGGCGGAGGGAGAGAGGGAGACAGGTTGGGAGGAATTGGGTGGGATTGGGAGAAACCGGGAGACTGGGATGAACCGGGAGGAACCGGGAAGAACCATGAGGAAGAGGATAGGAGAGGGTTTTGAAACAGCGCGTGAAACTTAAGAATAAGTGGCGTAGACGTCGGGAAGGATAAGTGGCGCAGCCTGAAAATAGAGAGGGAAACTCAAGAGGGAGAGGGAAGTGTGGAGGGGAGTGAGAGACAGGGGTTTGCATGGGCCACCACACCACACCACACCACAGTCGCATGGTAGAGGGCACAAACTGTCAGTCAGTGTATGGGACAAATGAAAACTCATCAGAGTCACTAGGGAGGGGAATGACATACCTTGGAGGAGGTCTGAATGACAGAGAGAACAGCAGGAGTGAGCGCGAGCATGAGCTGCATGGGCCACCACACGACTGTCGCCTGCCTCCTCATGTCGCTCTCTCCCTCTGCTCCTTCCCCCCCTGCTCCTGCTGCCGATGCTGCTGCCAGAGCCTTGGGCAATCCTGCCTGCAGAAGCACCTTGAGTGCTCCTATCACTGCCATGCGCACCTGGATGGGGGAACAATGCAGAGAGATCAGGGGGGCGAGGTGGGGTTGGGGGGGAGCGAGGAGGGGGAAGGGTATTAGATGCTTGGAGAAGCACCTTGAGTGCTCCTATCACTGCCATGCGCACCTGCATAGGGGAACGATAGAGGAGAATGGGAGGAGAGGGATGGGGAAGCGTGGGCGGAAGTGGGAGAAGGGGAGGAGAAGGGGACATGGAGAGGAGAGGAAAGGCCGAAAAGTGGGGAAAGTGGACGGGGAGGGGAAGAGGAAGAGGAGAGTCCAAAGACCAAGGAGGTGGGGAAAGAGAGAAAGGAGGAGGAGGATGAAGGGATGAGGAGAAGGGAGAGGACGGGAGGGAGGCATGTTATTGCAACTCAGGATTAAAGGCAAGGGGCAGCACATATGCGCCAAGAACAACCCTGGGGTTTTGCATATCTCTATCAATAAAGACAAGCTCAAGAGGTGGATGGGATACACAGTGGACACAGATGGCAACACGTCCAGGCAAGGCAAGCATCCCACTGGCCATCCCCTCTCCCCTCTCCCCTCTCCCCTCTCCCCTCCCCTCTTCCCTCTCCCTTCTCCCCTCCCCGCCCTCCCCTCTCCCCTCTCCACCCTCCCCACTCTCCCCTCCCCGCTCTCCCTTCTTCCCTCTCCGACCTCCCCTTACCCCACTACTCTGCCCTCACCTGTCGTGACTTGGATGCAAATGCTGTCTCGAATGCATGCACGCAGCGAGCCGTGCCGCTCTCTGCAAGCTGAATCGCAAAGTAGTCCCCTCCTGCTCCCGACACCAGCGGCGGCAGCGCCGCCAGCAGCGACAGCGCGTGCAGCGCACGCGTGGAGCTCGGAGCGCCCTCCGGCTCTGAGAAGCCGCCACGTGGCGCTGACGGGGACGATGGCGGCGACATGGTTGAGAAGGCCACGTCAGCGCTGGGGATGCTGTCAAGGGGAGTGGATGACATGTCAAGAAAGCTATTGGATGAATCTGCCTCAGCTGCTGCTGCTGCTGCTGCTGCTTTTCCAGCATCCTCACCATCACCACCTGCTGCTGCAGTCACCATACCCCCCCCCTCTTCCTCAACCTTCTCGTCATCCCCCTTTTCCTTGTTCGCCTCCTCACCCTCCTCGCTCAACTTCCCCTCTCCCTCCACCTGCCCCTTCCGTTCTTCTCCGTCCTCCTCCTCCTTCCCCTTCCCTCTCCTCTCCTTCCCCCCCCTCCTCTCCATCGTCCTCAGCAGTACCAGCACTCCCAGTCGTCCCCATTGCACCTGCCTCACTTGAGCTCCCAGCACCGCTGCTGGCTTCACCAGCTGCATCAGCCCCTGACGAATCCAGGGTGGACAGGTGGCGGTCCACGATTTGCGCAGCTCCTTCCAGCAGTGCTGCCACCACTGTGGCCCGCTGCCCCGACCACAGAGTCACCTCGCCCAGGGATGCAGCTGGGGGTTGGGAGGGGAGGGGAGGAGAAATGAGCAAAGTGATTAACTGAGCCGCCCCAAAGAAAATTCCAGCAGTGCTGCCACAACTGTGGCCCGCTATCCCGACCACAGAGTGACCTCGCCCAGGGATGCAGCTGGGGGAAAAGAGGAGAGAGGAAGAAAGAGGGTTTAGTAAGTAAACTGGAGAGCTGTCAACGCGAGTATAAGGAAACAAGGAAGGCACAAGGGCAGACACAAGGGCATAGACAACGGCAGGCACAAGGCAAGCACAAGGGCAGGCAGAAGGGCAGGCACAAGGGCGGGCACAAGGGCAGGAACAAGGGCAGGCAGAAGGTGGGAAGCATACTGGGATCGGCGCAGGAGCCTATGCGAGCCGCAGCAATGGCTGTGACCGTGGCTTCTGCCAGAACCGCACCCCACCCTTCCTCCACCCCTGCTCCTCCTGCTGCTGCTGATGAAGCGAGAGAGTCGGCTTGATCGAAGGAGGAGGAATCGGAGAGGGGTGCAGAGCGCAGCAGGCGCAGACACGTGGTCATGATGCTGGGCAGTAGAAGCACCTTGCCCTGACAGGTCATGGTCGCAATGGTACGAGAAACAGAGGAATGCGATTTGAAAGTCGGTCAACAGTAACTCTTGAGGCGCCTCCAAGGTTGTGGGTGCAAATGCGCGGAAAATAAGAAGGAATAGTGCAGAATGGTGAATTTCAGAGAGTGCTTCTGAGAGTACCAGCAACAAGCCATCACGAGTTTGATCAAGGGACAAATGTTCTGGATACCTGAGAGAAGAGGCACTGGTTTTGGGTTAATACCAACAAGAATAATATACATATATATATATATATATATATATATGGAGGTATAGAAGCAATTTGGGAGTGATCAATGAATGAACGAGGCTGTTACCTGGGAGGAGAGGCGAGAGGCGATGGAGGCGATGAGCTTGAGGGCTGAGATGAGCAGAGATGCCTCTGCTGCCGACAGCGACGCAGCGGATGCACTGATGGGAGGACGAGGGAGGAGGGCAAAAGGCGCTTCAAGTTACAGGAATTCTCCAACCCGGCTGTGCAAGTAAAGGGAGTGATGATGCGGTGTGGAAAATGAAGCAGAACAACAACGCACAGAGCGGCCCAGGTGGAGGACCCACACGGCAAGACGGCCGGGACCGGCGCCAGACTATTCGGCGAGAAGGAGGCATGCCCTGCGCATAACAAGGTGGCTGCATGCTAAGGGGTTAATCCCTACGGTGCACCGCAGGAGTCGTTGCACCTATTGCTGTCAGTGAGGACAAGGACCTACCCTGTCACCTGGTGGTGCTGTCACTGTCAGTGACTGGATTGCATACATCTCAATGTGAAGACTCTCTGGTGTATTTCAGTGAGAACTCTATCTGGTACATCTCAGCGACTCGTACACTTCTCCGGGTGAAGTATAACGACACAAGTGAAACCTCTTCAACCCTCCTCTAAGGATCATTAAGTGAAGCTTCTCTAACGTGGGCGTCCGAGGGTCTCTTACCTGGCGCTGTCAGTGGCATTGTGCAGGGCGGAGTGCAGCAGGTGCATGCATGCAGCCAGAACAGCCGAGACAATATCCAAGTTGGAGACCAGGGCGTCTGGTGCACATGTCATGAACTGCGGTGCAGAGAGGAAGAGGGGAAATGCGCAGAGGAAAGGCAGGAGATGGGGGGAGATGGATGATCAAGGATGGGATTGGGAGGGAGCAGGGTGCATCCAGGAAGGCACAAGGCGCAAGTAGGGGGGAGGAAGGCACAAGGCGCAAGTAGGGGGGAGGATGGCACAAGGCGCAAGTAGGGGGGAGGATGGCACAAGGCGCAAGTAGGGGGGAGGAAGGCACAAGGCGGGGATGGGAAGGGCAAATGAGGGAAGCACAGAGGGTGCGTGAGAAGGGGTACAAGGTGGAGATGAAAAGGGGCACAGGTTATGATGGCATATGGTGGCGTCCTTGCTACTGAAAATGGAAGCTACCTTGGTGAGGACGTCCAGTGCCTGTGCCTTGATCGCTGTGTCTGCATCCTCCATGACTGACGCTATGACCTGAGCAACACACGCAGGATCAAGCAGGAACAACCGGGAATTGGCGGAGGGAGCAAGTGGGAGTGCCGGGGCATTGCGGCAGGAACATATAACCGAGGGAAAGTGCGAGGAGAGGAGGGAGATGGGATTAAAACAGACTGAATCCTTGTGCTCCCAAAGCGTGCTCCTCAAGGGTGCTCACTAAGAGAGCCTCCTCCCCACCTGCAGATTGTTTTTGAGAATTCTCAAAAACAATTTACAGCGCTAAGAGAGCCTCCTCCTCACCTGCAGCAGCTCCAGGCAATCCTCCTCCTCGATAAAGTCACCCCCAAAGAACTCCCGCTGCATCAACCGCCCCAACGCCCGCAGCGCCACACTCCTCCCCTCCCCAACAGCCGCCTCGCTGCCTCCCTTGCAACCCCACGACCCATCCGCTTGCAAGAAATCTCCTATCACCACCTCACCCCCCTGCTCCTGCTGCTCCTGCCCCCCCTCCTGCTGCTGCCCCTGCCCCTGCTGCTGCTGCCCATCCTCCGATGGTCTCCTTGACCCATCTGCCCCTCCATTCTCCCCAGACCCAGCCCCACTGCTCTTATCCCCAGCAGGATGGCAGATAGCATATAGGCAAGCAGCCCAGAGTTGGTGAAACTGCTTCGGATCAATCCCACTGTATGATGTGGCACTAGGAGGGCCCTTAGACCCTGCCGAGCTGGGACCCACCGCGAAGACAGGAGCGAGAATCGCCACCCCCGAACCTGCCGCTGCCGCCGCTGCTGCTGCTGCTTCGGCATCTGCCGCAGCAGCTGCGGCGGCTGCGGCGGCCGCTGCCGCAGCTGCTTCCTTAGCCGCAGACAGGTTCGGTTTCACGCCTAACGTGGCCGCGTCCAGAACGACAGGAGACGACGCGAGAAGGTACCGTTTGATCAGGGGAAGCATGGAAGGGGACATTTCAGCAGCGTACGAGGACCGATACACCGCCTGCACGTTTGGCTCGAGGGAGAACGCAGCGAGGTAGTCACGCAGGAGAGCAACCCAGTGGGACACGAGCAAGTCGGGGGTTTGCTCGACCGCAGACCGCACTTTACGGAGGGCGGCGAGACGCGTGTCGGACTCGAAATGCTCGTCCTCTGAGTCGTATCCGGCGTCGGGAGTGGCTGCTGTGGCAGGGGCGCCTGCTGCTGCGAGCTGCGCGTCGTAGGAGGCGAGAGTGAGGGACTTGAGGCGGGCATGCCGCACCACTAGCTCCACCTTCACCTGTGGGGGTGTGGTGGGGGGTGGTGGACAGGGGCACAAGGGGGCGTGGAATGGCTTGTATGGAAATGTGTGGCGTCGCATGAAGGAGTTATGCGTCGTAGGAGGCGAGAGTGAGGGACTTGAGGCGGGCGTGCCGTACTACTAACTCCACCTTCACCTGTAGAAGCGGTGTTTGTGTGGATTGGGAGGGGGGTGGGGGTGTAGAAGGATGGACATGCCTAGAAGAATTGAGGGATGCTGAGAGATAGTGGAGGACTTCAATGAAGAGATAGTGAAGAGGAGGAATAAGTGTGGGCTGTGACAAACAGCTGCAGGTACGGAAACAATGGATAAAAGATGAACTTGTATGTACATTTCGAGTCGAATGAACAAAAACAAGAGAGGGGGAGGGGAGCTGACCTTAAAGCCAACCCATTCTGCGTAGGACCAGTTGCCCAGGGCATCCCACTTGCTGAGTGGCGTGGCCAACAGGGTCATGACACGTGGCACCACAGATTCGTCTGATCCTCTTAGCCTGCCGCTCACAACCTGGTCACGTGACACAGAGGGAGGATGTGGGGTAAGAGGAGGGGAGATATGGGGGAGGGAGCAAACGGGGCAATGGGAATTGGGGAGAGGACAAGTATGAAGGAGGGAGAGTTTAAAGGAAACATGCAGGGCAGGGAGCAAACAAGGTGGCCATGGGCATGGGCATGGGCATGGGCACCACACAAGAGCACGCAAACAGCACACGAGCACTCTCTGAGAAATATGAGTGGCGCAAGGGGATGGTGGGCCGGTGCTCTGACTGACCTTATCTGCGAGCCTGGCACCTGCCAGCAGCAGCAGCGGGTTGTTTGCAGCATCCATGGCTGTGCGCACAGTGGACACATACTGCGCCTGGTGGGGTGAGAGGGGGAAAGGAGGAGCGTGGTTGTGTGTGGGATTCAAACTTGATAAATTACAAAGTTGTTTGCAGCATCCATGGCTGTGCGCACAGTGGACACATACTGCGCCTGGTGGGGTGAGATGGGTGCACAGGTGCGTATTCAAGGACGGAAAAGGAAGGAGGAAAAGAGTGGGGTTAGGTGGGGGGGAGGGGGGGTAGAAGCCTAGGTTTGAGTGGCAGCATCCATGGCTGTGCTGTGCGCACAGTGGACACATACTGCGCCTGGTGGGGTGGGCACAGGTGAAAAGGAACGGGAGGGAAGTGGGGGGGAGGAGGGGAGGGAGGAATTAAATGGGCTCAACAGTTGACTCCAAAGCTGGTAGCTGGCAGAAAGGACATACGGAAGTGGGATATGGACAACAAGTACTGCTCTGCATCGTTGGATGTGTCCTCGAGTGGATCGAGTAACTCGCAAACAGCAGGAAACTGGCCTGGAACCGCCAAAGCAGAATGCGATGCGACTCTCTGACTCCTTATCAGCGCCTCAAAGACCGCAGCAGGTTACCTGGTATTACAACCTAACTGGTGGTACTACACGACCAGATTTCGTCCCTAAGTCAGCATCTTTTATGTCATGGAATTCAATCAGCCAGCAAGACGGGCAGAGGATTCTGAAAACGGAACCTGTAATGTACCTACCTGGTACTGCTCGAGCAGAATGTGGCCCTCAAAGTCTGGATCCTCTGTGTGACCAAACTGCATCAGCCAGGAAGACGGGCAGAAGGGACACAGAGGGAAAGAGGGGAAGAATGAGATGGGAGAGGGGGAGATGAGGAGAGGAGAGGAGGGCTGCAGGAAGGAAGTAGAACCTGGTGCTGAATATTGTGAATACCACGCTTAGACTACTCAAGAAGATGCATTTGAAGCGAGCAGGGAGCAGTGGGAAGAGAGCAAAGAGCAAGGAGCGTAGAGCAGAGCAGAGCAGAATGGAGCGGGACGGGGCGGAGCAGCGCAGGGCGGAGCGGAACGCAGAGGGTGAGCGGAACGCAGCGGAGAGTACCCCGCTCATGGGGGAACGCACGCACCTTGTCCAGTATGGTCCCAAGGAGAGACACTCCCATGGGCCGAACGCCCTCCATGCTTCCTGTTGCCATCTGGGAGAGGCGTTGAGAGGGCATGGTGGCAGGCAGAGGGCAGAGGGCGGAGGGGGGAGGGCGGAGGGGGGAGGGTGGAGGTTTGAGACGTCTGAAGCTTTAAGCAGGAAGTTGGAGTGAAAGGAGGAAGTAGGATGGTGAGGGAGAGAGAGGTGGACGAGGTGACGGTGAGGGAGATATTGAGGGATAAGGATGGGTAGGAAATGGTGGAATGACAGCACTGCGAGGACGAGAGGAGATAGAGGAAGGACGTGAGGGGGAAAAGCGAGAGCGGCAGAGCTTTGAGATGCCTCAAACACGTGAACCCTCTCTCCCTCTCTCTCCCTCTCTCCCTCTCGCTCCTCTTCTCTCCCACTGTCCCTCTCTGCCCCGTCACACACGCGCCCGCCCTCACAAAGCCTCTGAGAGCCCACCTGGAAGGCCACAGCCACGAGGTCACCCAGATGCAGCACGAGCCAGTCCGCCTGCTGTGCACTGCCCGCGTTCTCTCTCCTCTCCCACACGCACCTCAAGACGCCTCCAGACACATCGCATCCCAACAACCCACCAGGAAGGCCACAGCCACGAGGTCACCCAGATGCAGCACGAGCCAGTCCGCCTGCTGTGCACTGCCCGCGTTCTCTCTCCTCTCCCACACGCACCTCAAGACGCCTCCAGACACATCGCATCCCAACAACCCACCAGGAAGGCCACAGCCACGAGGTCACCCAGATGCAGCACGAGCCAGTCCGCCTGCTGTGCACTGCCCGCGTTCTCTCTCCTCTCCCACACGCACCTCAAGACGCCTCCAGACACATCGCATCCCAACAACCCACCAGGAAGGCCACAGCCACGAGGTCACCCAGATGCAGCACGAGCCAGTCCGCCTGCTGTGCACTGCCCGCGTTCTCTCTCCTCTCCCACACGCACCTCAAGACGCCTCCAGACACATCGCATCCCAACAACCCACCAGGAAGGCCACAGCCACGAGGTCACCCAGATGCAGCACGAGCCAGTCCGCCTGCTGTGCACTGCCCGCGTTCTCTCTCCTCTCCCACACGCACCTCAAGACGCCTCCAGACACATCGCATCCCAACAACCCACCAGGAAGGCCACAGCCACGAGGTCACCCAGATGCAGCACGAGCCAGTCCGCCTGCTGTGCACTGCCCGCGTTCTCTCTCCTCTCCCACACGCACCTCAAGACGCCTCCAGACACATCGCATCCCAACAGCCCACCTGGAAGGCCACAGCCACGAGGTCACCCAGATGCAGCACGAGCCAGTCCGCCTGCTGTGCACTGCCTCCTCCACTCTCCCGGCCTGCCTGCCTCATCGCGTCCACCTTATGCTTTGCGAGGGTGATGTCAAAGTGAGCAGGGTCGGAGCCCACCATGTAAGGCAGACGGGATAGACACCTGGGTGACACAGCAGGTGGATCGTGGAACACACACAGGGAAGAGAAGAGGGGGGTGGGTGGGGGGGGGGGGAGAGGGAGAAGGAGGCAGACGGGGGGGTGTGGTGGAGCAGGTCGATCGTTTAGATGGCATGGCACTTAAGTTACGCGGATCAATCCAAAGCTTATGCTGGCGGGCGCTTCATACAACACCACACCACACCGCACCACACCACACCACACCACACCATGCCAGATTGCATGCATACCCCAACAACGCCCAAAGCCATGGTGCATATCATAAGCTGCCACAGCCACGCGATGCGATTCTTTTGAATTCTCAACAATCGCAACCAGAACCTACACGCACAGACAAGCACACACCAGCAACGACAACCACACACTCACTTGGCCGCAAACACTCTCGTCCTGAACCTCGGCAGCTGATCCACTCCCCTCCGCACTGCCCCTCCTCCCACACCCACAGCCAGACCAGCACACACCAACCAGTGACACCACACACTCACTTGGCTGCAAACACTCTTGTCCTAAACCTCGGCAGCTGATCCACTCCCCTCCGCACTGCCCCTCCTCCCCCCCCTCCCACACCCCCAATCGGCGTCCCTCCACCTATCCCCGCCCCTCCGCCCCCTTTCCCCGCTCCTCCTGCCCCTCCTGCCACCCCTGCCCCCGGCCCCGCTCCTGCTGCTCCCCCTGTGCGCGCCCCATCCCCCGCTGCCGCCACCATACTCTCATCATCCTCCTCGTCTTCCCCTGCTTCCCCCTTCCGCCCCTCCCCTGCGACTTCCTTTGCCTCGCCTGCTCTCCTTGTAGCAGACGCTGCTAGCACCTGGCAAAAATTGATACGCCAGGGGTGGGTGGGAATGACAAGGCAGGGGCGGATGGGAGTGTATGGGTTGAGAGAGGAGAGGGGAAGGGTGGGAGAGGGCGGGGAGGGGAGGAGTGAAACGGAGTGGAGAGGGTCGGCGAGAGAAAAACAAAACAAAAAAGAGGCCGATATGGAAAGAGGAGATGCAAAAGTGGAAGCTACAACAATATTTGTGTGTTTGGTATATGGGTTGCACAGGAGGAAAGGCCAAAGGAAGGAAACTACAGCAGCAAGAGGAACACTCCGGAAGAAAGTAGAGGGAAAAAGAGAGGAGCACAGGAGGCTGAGGGAAGCAAATCGAGAGGGGGAGGGGTAGGTGGGGGGCGAGAAAGGGGGGAGGAGGGGGGTGTTAGGGGGGGGGGGGGGGGGGGGGGGGAGAAGAGCAAGGAAAAGCGAAGAGCGAGAAGAGCGAGAAAGGAAGTTTTGCAGCAGGGAAAGGATGTTTTGCAGCAGGTGAATGTGGGACAGCAGTAGCAATGAGTACATACCACGTTCTTGCAGAGGCGAAGCCATCGACTGGGGTATGTGGGGCATGCAGCCTCGAGTAGTCGCTCCAAGGCCATGCACACACCAGATATGACCCTGGCCGGTGATGCAGACAAAGAATGGGCGTTTCACAGGGTTTAAGGTCTAAGAACAAAGGAGGAGAAACGGATGAAAGGAAGGCAAGAAGAAAGAAGTGCAGAGATGTTTTCCCGAATTTGGATAAATGACAGCACGCACGCATGCACACAGCTGCCCCATGCACGCATGCACACCTGCACCAAGCACGCATGCACACGTGGTGCACACACCTGGGGTCTGTCTCGTTGTCCAGCATGGAAAAGAGGTCCTCCTCTATCTGCTCTGACACCATGGCCGCCTGGCAGCAGCAGCAGCAGCAGCAGCAGCAGCAGCAGCAGCAGCAGCAGCAGCAGCAGCAGCAGCAGAAAAAACAACAGCTTGAATTGAGAACTAAACACATTGTTATGTCAGTACAAACTTTCCAGTTACGTGGGCAGGGATGAAAAAGGGGGTGGAGGAGCAGGGCGGGGCAAAGGTAAACCACCAAAGAAGACAAGGTGCGAGAAGAATTTATCCCATACTCGTCGCACGCTGGTACCAGGGCGGAGGAAAACCCAAAGAAGACAGGAGGCACAACAAAGGAAGGTGAGGTGCGGTGCGGTGCGGTGCTCACCGGCTCTCTCTCACACATGTGCCGCAAGGTGGAAATGGCAGCAAACCGCAGACTCGGCTGCATGGTTCACAGGGTATGAAACGAGGGGAAGGGGAGAAAGCGGAGGTGGGGGAGGGTGGAAGGAGGAGAAACAGATGGTATTACAAAAAGCGCACATGGCAGAAGGCTTTTAGCCTGACTTGTTTGTGATAGACAGCGCATTGCATGAGGCATGAGTCAAGTTCGCACAAGGCAGAACGGAGAAAGGCAGATTGAGTAGGCGAGGAAAGGGATGTGAGTATACAGTAAGCCATGAGGGTGGCATGGGGAAATGAAGGATCGATGGTGGGCAGGCAGGTGGACTTTGGATGGAGGGGGGCATGGCTTGACATGGAATTGCATGGCATGGCAAGGCATGGCATGGCATGGCATGGCATGGCATGGCATGGCATGGCATGGAGTGGCATGGCATGGCATGGCATGGCATGGCATGGCATGGCATGGCATGGCATGGTGTGGCATGGCATGGAGTGGCATGGCCTGGCATGGCATGGGATGGGATGGCACCTGGCGGGAGGTGAGGGTGGCGCGGAGGGTGGTAACATGGTGGTGCAGAGGCATGGCCTGAGGTGCGAACAGCACCAGCTGCTGCGTGTACAGCACACACCTGGGAGAGGGCAGGAGGTTTGGGAGGGGGGGGGTGGTTGGAGAAAGGATAGGATATTTACTTATCAACAGCAATTAGGGCAAAGAGCAGAAATTCTGAAGGCGGAGAAAAGATACTGAAGTCAAGGGGCGGAAAGAGAGGAGGGAAAATGGGAGGGAGAAGGGCAGGGAGAGAGGGGGAGGGAGGGGTGGAGGGAGGGAGAGGGAGGAAGGGAGGGGAATGGGAGCAGGAGCGGGGGGACATCGGGGGAACGACACAGCAAGAGAGGGAAGGAACAAAAGAGGGTGGCTTACTCTAGCTGTGCAGCAGGGTCGTTCCTCTGGCTAATGTCATCCAGGATGCACTGTCACATGGAGTGCAGGAACCGGCAGGCAGGGAAGAAAGGGAACGAGAGGGGGCACAGTTGGTTAGAGAGTTGCATTCATAAAGGGAGCAAGGGAGCAAGGGGGTTGGAGAGCAAGGGAGCTTGGAGAACAGTGAGTCAATGAGAGCCAGTGCAACGTGGTACCTTGCAGCGGTAGAAGACAGTGGAGCCTGGAAGCAGCTCAGGCCCAAAGACAGCCACAAGGGCATTGACCAGACGAGCCACGCTCTGAGAGGCAGGCTTTGGGACAACTCAAGTTTGAGATGTTTCAGAACTCACCTTGCAGCGGTAGAAGTCCATGGAGCCTGGAAGCGGCTCAGGCCCAAAGACGGCCACAAGGGCATTGATCAGGCGAGGCTTCAGGACGTCTCAAACTCGCCTTTGGGCTTTGGGGGTTTTGATATGTTTCATGACTCACCTTGCAGCGGTAGAAGACAGTGGAGCCTGGAAGCAGCTCAGGGCCAAAGACGGCCACCAGGGCATTGACCAGACGAGCCACGCTCTGAGGCAAGCCCGCTGCGACGTGGTCGTCCGACAGTAGTACATCCATCAGCAGAGACAAGGTGGCCTGGGGGGACAATTGTGGGGATGGGGGGATGAGTATGTGGATCGAAGCATACTTGCTAGAGGAAGACATCATCAACGTGGCAAAGTTGATTGAGCTTGCATTCGGGCGCACAAATTATGAGTGGTCCAGCATAGGAAGGAGTGGGGGAAAGGTGGAGGACGTGGGAGGAGAGAAAGAATTGCACGAGGAAACTCGCACCTGCACATGGGGAGTGTAGGAGAGGCCAGCTGCGTCAGCAGCAAGCCAGAGCGCGTGCAGTGCCCAGATGTGCCCCAGGTGCTCGCCTGGTGCTCGTGCCATGGTCATGAGGAACTGCACCACTGGGGACACAAAGGACGACAACGCTATCCCGCCCACACTGGGGAGAAGGAAAGAGAGAATGGGAAATGGAAGATGGGGAAATGAGAGAGTTGTTACATGAGGAAGAGCGCAGCAGCACTGGGAAGCGCAGCAATGGGGAAATTAGAGAGGGTGAGGGGAGATGAGGAGAAAGAGCAGGCAGATGTTCAGAGTAGCTATCACTGGCTATCAATCGCTGTGACCCCCTGTGACCTGGAACACAAGTCACATCACTGACCTGCGGAGCACTGATCCGAATGCGAGAGCAACAGCTGCCCTGGTGGAGGGGTCAGTGGCCGCCTCCCCCTCTGCCAGCAGTGACCGGATCTGGAAGGGCGGATAGCCAAGGGGGGAAGGAGAGGGGAGGGTTGAGCGACTGAGAGGGGGAGGTGTGAGGGAAAAGGCAGGGTGCAAGAAGCTGAAACTTTCTTGCTTCAGGAAAGAAGCGAAGGCAAGAGATTGGGCTTTGCAACAAAGGAACATTGAACTGGGCATGTGGGGAGACTCGGAGCACAGGTCTGAGACGCACAGCATAGCAAGGCAAGCAGCAGCGCGTGAAGCAAGGGACGTTGCCATAACGTTTGACTCTCATTGAACATCTTTCACAGTCCGAGACTCTCACCAGGCGCGCAGCAAAGAGGTCATCTCCCAAGCGCGCCAGCAGACCCAGGGCCTCGGCGGACGCCCTCTTGAATGCTGGGTTGGACGGGTCACTCGCCACAAAGCTCTGTAGCGGGGGGGAGAGGGAGAAGAGGTGGGGAGAGAGGGGGAGAGAGGGGAAAAGAGGTGCAGGAGAGGGATTTTAGAGTTGCACAGCGCAATTGCACACACCAAAACGACTGTGGCAACAGCAAAGATAGCTCAACAGAATGGGTGGAGCACATGCGGGTACTCCACTCCAGTCCACTCCACATTGGTGTGAAATACAAGGCGTGTGGTGTGTGCACCACGAACGGTGGCGGGGAGAGGAAGGGAGGCCTGGGGGGGAACTCGAGTTGTGCGTTGCAGCAGCCTACAAAACGGGTTTCCCCTTCGAAGCAATGACAAAACATCAGGACAACAAGGTAAACTTGACACTCATCCGAGCGGGACGAAACGGTCACAGCAAGGCACAGTTCCGGAGAAACCGAGTAGCAAGGATCCTTGAGGCCAGCCTACCTGAACCAGCGCCTGGATGCGACGCAGGGTCTCTGCATCCTCCTCCTTTGCCTTGCGCGCTACCATGGCCTGATGCGAACAGTGTGGCAGGATGGAGGGGAGAAGAGAGTGAGGTGGGGAGGAGGTAGGGGGAGAGGGGAGAGGGGAAGGGTTTGAGGCACCGTGACCCAGTGTGGGGGATGCAAAAGGGATGGTAAACGGGGTGAAGGAAGGTCATACAGAAAGAGCAGCTGCATGCGTGTGCGTTCATGTTGTGTGAACATCTGTTGCAAGCGCACATGCATGCATGCTTTTACGTGCACACGCAAGCCTCACCTTGAGAGTGCCGACGACCACCACACAGGCATTGGCAGTGGCAGACACGCGCAGAGCCTGGCGCTTGTTGCCCTTCACGGCCACTGACAAGGTATCCACTAGTGCCAGCTTGGACGTTGGAACCTGAGGGCAGAGCGTGTACAGGGACGGGTGACAACGGGGGATTGTGTTGGAACAGGGGAGCCTCAAAAGCAGGAGGGTGTTCACAGTCCACCAGTGCCAGCTGTCAGATTACCATCTTCATTGTAACCTGCATCATCATATAAGCTTTGACTAGAGATAGGCACCCAAACTTAGTTTGGGTGCACAACTAGGGTTTACCCTAGTTTGAGGTTGGAACCCAACCTTGGCCCAATTATTGGGCCCCCAAGGTTGGGTTGGGAGATTATTGGCCCCCCCAATAATGTTGACCCACTTTTGGTCAACATTATTGGTCCCCCCAATAACTCCTCAACCCAACTTATTGGTGGGGGCCAATAATGTTGGCATGGCTCCTACATCCTAGCTCAACTATGTAAACCCATGCCCTTCCTAATGAAACTATCGGTTGTTCTTACACTTTCTCACATGGTATTCAGAGCAACTACGGCTCACACCATCTCGATCCTAAGGACCGCACATACCGCGTGCTATATCACGCCCCCCTCTCTCACGCGACACTACGTCGCCCTTTGCGCCTAGTGCGCCCCTACGCCGTCACGCCCCCCCCCTCCCCTTGCGCTAAATTTCAGCGCCCCCCTCCCTCCTTTCTACAGTCAATTCCGCCTCTCGCGGCTCTCCCCTCTCTCCCACTAACCCATCAACCGTCGGAACGGCCACGCCAACCGTCGGAACGATCCGCGCAACCGTCGGAACGATCTGCGCAACCGTCGGAACGACCAGCGCGACCGTCGGGACGGCCAGCACGAGCGACGGAACCCTAATCGCGGGCGGCCGCGACCGACGAAACCCTAATCGCGGGCGGACGCCACACCCGCGACGAACGACGGCCGCGGACGCGACGAGAACGGGCGACCGCCGCGGACGCGACCAGCGGGGGCGGACGCCGCGGACGCGACCAGCGCGGGCGACCGCCGCGGACGCGACCAGCGGGGGCGGACGCCGCGGACGCGACCAGCGGGGGCGGACGCCGCGGACGCGACCAGCGAGGGCGGACGCCGCGGACGCGACCAGCGAGGGCGGACGCCGCGGACGCGACCAGCGCGGGCGGACGCCGCGGACGCGACCAGCGAGGGCGGACGCCGCGGACGCGACCAGCGAGGGCGGACGCCGCGGACGCGACCAGCGAGGGCGGACGCCGCGGACGCGACCAGCGCGGGCGGACGCCGCGGACGCGACCAGCGAGGGCGGACGCCGCGGACGCGACCAGCGCGGGCGGACGCCGCGGACGCGACCAGCGAGGGCGGACGCCGCGGACGCGACCAGCGAGGGCGGACGCCGCGGACGCGACCAGCGCGGGCGGCGACCAGCGCGGGCGGACGTCACGGACGCGACCAGCGAGGGCGACGCTGCGGACACGACCAGCGCGTGCGGACGCCGCGGACACGACCAGCGAGGGCGACCGCTGCGGACGCGTCCAGGAGCAGCCGCGTGTCGTCAAGGCACAGCTGCAGGCGACGAGGCGCAGCCGCGGGCGACGAGACGCAGCCGCGGGCGACAAGGGGCAGCCGCGGGTGACGAAGCGCTGCCGCACGCAACGTGACCGCGCCACCCCTCCAGGTGGTGTCGTCTTTGACCGCACCCGCCCTCCAGCCGGTGTCGTCACCCTCTCCCCCCCCCTCCTCCCCCCTCATGGCGGACGACTCTACTCCCATTGAACTCGGAGCTATCGATAAGCTCGAACTCCTCCATGACACTACGGCCGTGAACTGGGCGTCGTTTGAGGACACACTTCACACCCACCTTGGCTCTGTCATTGTTCAAGACTACTGTCTTCTTGATGTAGTTCTTGAGCACCCTAACGGCCTTCCACCCGTCCCCCCTCCTCCTCTTGAGCCTCCTCCTCCTGATGCCCCTCCTCCCCCAGAGCCTCTGTCTGATCCCCCTCGTGCCCCAGTTCATGATGACAACCCAGATCGATGGGCGGCCAACTTGAACAACTACAACAAGCTTCGCGATGCCTACACCATCCAGCGTGAGGCGCACCGTGCTGCTGAGAAGGCTCACGCTGATGCTACTGCGCGTATCCTCTCCTACGCACAGGATGAGAAAGACTATGCTGATGAACTTCGCAAGTTCAACAAGGATACTGCAGCATGGCGAATTGCGGATCGCCGCGCTCTAGCCATTATCTTCTCCTGCATCCCTTCCCATCTCAAACGTGACCTCCGCCCCACCTCCTCCTCTGGCCTCTGGAAAACCCTGTCCACTCAGTACGACCGACAGGACCTTCGCTCTCTCCTTGCTCTCTTTCGCAAATTTCAAGACACCACTCTTGACTCATCCCCCACTGCTGCTGCCTTCACTCGGCGCCTCATCGACACTGCGCAACGTCTCAACGACCGCGGCATTGTCATTCATGAATCACTTCTCACTGCACGCATCCTCGACTGCCTTCCACCCACATACGATACCTACCGCATCACCTTTACCTCTAGGTACCGCCATCCTCCTCCTGTGGCTGACACAATCGACTGGCTCCTTGACAGCGAAGCGGACATCCAACGTGACTCCACCACCATCAATGCTATCCAGGCTCGCAAAACTCCCGCAGGCAACCACAGCAGCGGCGGAGGTAGCGGCTCAAGCGGTACTGGCGGTGGCGGTGGTGGACGAGGTGGTGGGCGAGGCGGTGGACGCGGTGGTGGTCGTGGTGGCGGCCGTGGTGGGCGTGGCAAAAACCCCTCTCCCTCGGGTACCCTTCCCCCGTGTCAGTACATCATTCGCTATGGCTCCAACAAAGGTCAGCCTTGCGCTCAAACCACTCACACCACTGACACGTGCTTCAAAGCCCTCACTGATGAGTGGTTTGCACGTGGCAATGTCGGCACCCCACCTCGATGGAACACCATCTTCCCGCGCCCCTCTCTCCATGACATACGCACTCTCCCCGCCTATCAACCCTCCACCCCTAATCTTCACAATGTCCTCACTGAGCATCTCCCACCTCATATCCTCCAGCAAGTTCAACATCTTCTCCCTTCATCTCCTCCCACTCCCACCCCTCCCACCCCTCCCATTCCCCCTTCACCCACACCTCCTCCTCAAGCCCCTCCCCCCCACTATCCTCCGCCCTATACCGGCTGGCCATACCCTCCTTATCCACCTCCTCAATACGGCCCTGTGCTTCCTCCACCTGCTACCACTCCTACTGACCAGCCCTCCTCCTCCTCCAATCCTCCTGGCTTCACTCCGTTCCCTTCTGCTGGATTCATAGGACATGTTAGCACTGCTTCTCCTGCTCCTTCAATGTATGCCCATGCTATTAATGAGACATCCTTCCAGTATTCCGCTTCTTCCTCCTCCTCTACACTCCTTGAGTTCATTCTTGACAGCGGCGCTACACACACTGTCCTTCGGGACGCAGGCACACTAGTCCCCCTCCCCACTCCCTCCACCATTTACGGAGCCGACTTCAGCTTCACCATCACAAGTCGACACACCTCCACTCTCCCCTGCCCCATCTTCCCCTCAGGCACAGTCACAGGTCTACACGTCCCCTCCCTACGCAACAATCTGGTAGCACTTCGTGACCTCCCAAGGTTAGGTGTCACCGCCATCTTCCCCGGACATGCACTTCACTGCGACCTCTTTCACACCATCACTGGTCGCTTCATCTGTCGTATTCCCCTCTGCCCACACACAAACCTGTACACATACCGCACCCCTCGCCCCTCCATCCACCACTCCCACCACTCCTCACTCCCTCCTCCCCTCCCCCTCCCCCCCCCTCCTCCCCTCCCCTCTCCCCCCCCTCCTCCCCTCCCTTCTTCCCCCCTTCCCTCCCCTCCCTCCCCCCTCCTCTTGCCTCCCCTCCCCCTCCCTCCTCCCCCTCCCCTCCCTCCTCCCCCTCCCCTCCCTCCTCCCCCTCCTGTCACTGTCGTGACCTTACCCATCCCGCTGTCCTCCTTCACCATCGCTTGGGTCATCCCAACTTTGCCACCCTTCGTCAATCTGTCTCCTCTCAACTTCTTGGACTTCCCTTCACCCTACCCCCTCTCCCCCCGTCGCCCTCCCCTCCCTGCTCAGTTTGCGTTGAAAGCAAACTAAAGCAAGCCCCCCACAAGAGTCATCCCTCCTTCTCTCCCCAACCCATTGATCTCGTCCACATGGACCTCTGGGGCCCCAATCCCACCCCCACCAGGCAAGGTCATCGCTACCTGCTCATACTGGTAGATGACCACAGTCGGTACTCCACTGTCTCTCTCCTTCGCAAGAAGGCGGAGGCCCCGGCTGCCATTATTGCCTGGGCTGAACAAGCACGCACCCATTTCAAACGCCCTGTCTCTCGCTTCCATTCCGATGGCGGCGGTGAGTTCCTTAACCGGATGCTTTCCTCCTACTGCTCCACCCATGGCATTATCCACACCTACACCCTTCCTCATTCCCCTCAGCAAAATGGTGTGGCGGAGAGCAGGGTTCGGGAGGTCACCAAGACCGCTCGATGCCTCATGGTCCATGCCTCCTGCCCGCCTTCTCTGTGGGGTTATGCTATCCTCCACGCCGCCATCCTCACTAATCTCTACCCCCATCCCTCACGGCCCACCACTACTCCCACCGAACTCTGGACCTCCACTAAACCCGACATCTCCCCCCTGCGCGTGTGGGGCTCCAAGGCGTATGTTCTCATACACCCTGAGGACCGTTCACGTGCAGCTGGGAAACTTGCCTCCCGCACCCTCCCTTGCATCTTCATTGGTCATAACCCCACCTCCCCGGACTACCTCTTCCTCCACCCCCCCTCAGGTCGTCTCATTCGTAGTCGGGATGTGGTTCTTGATGAAGCCAATCCGTACTACACCTCCCCCTCCGCCCCTAACCCCCTCCCCCTCACCATACGTCCTCTCCTCTGGACTGACACTGTCATCACCCCTCCCCTTCAACCTCCCCCCACCCTGGTCATACCCGCACCCCCACCCCCTCCCCCTTCTCTCCCAACCTCCTCAGGGGACATCCTTGACCCGGCTGCCCCACCCTCCCCTTCCGCTGTAACTCCCTCTCCCCCCACTGACCCTCCCCCTCTCCTCGCTGACCCCCCCCCTCCCTCCCCACCCCCTCCCCCTCCCTCTCCATCCCCTCCCCCCCTGAACTCTCCCCCACCCCCTCCCCTCTCCCAACCTCCACCCTCCCCATCTCCTCCTCCGCCCCCTTCCCCTCCACCATCTCGGCCCTTACTTTCGTCCCCTCCTCTGCTCCTTCGTCACTACCCTCACACCCGCTCCACAGTCCCCATCCTTGGTCCCCCACGGTCCAATCACCTCTCCCTCCAGTATCTCACATCCATTCCACTCCTCCACCACTCTAGCACTTCCCCACTCCCCCGCACCAGCCCCTCAGGTTCTCACACCAGCCGCGCTCCCGTCTCCCTGCCCCTCACGGCAACTCAGCGCAGCAGAGCAGCATTGCAGCTGTCTCCTCGCCCCGACCCTCGGCGCAGCAGAGCAGCAGTGCAGCCGTGTTCCCGCTCCAGCCTGACCCTCCAGCGCAGCTGTCTTGCATCTTCACCGCCTCCTCTTCCTCCTCCTCTCTCTCCGGACCTCTATGAAGACTCTCATGATGAACTCCTTTTCCTCCACCTCCTCTCACCCACCATCGCCCCTGTCGTCCGCACCATGGCTGGTACTACGGTCCTTCTTTTCTCCAACACCCCCACCATCTACGAACCCACCACCTACGAGCAAGCAATTGCATGTCTTGACGCACCTCTCTGGATCGAGGCCATGGTCAAGGAATGCAACGCCTTCATCCACAACCGCTCTTTCCTCGACGTCCCTCGCCCCTCCAAGCACAACGTGGTCAAAGGCAGGTGGCTCTTCCGAGTAAAACTACTCCCTGGTGAAGCTCCTGTCTACAAGGCTCGGTATGTGGCGAAAGGCTTTACACAGACTTATGGCTCGGACTTCTTCGAGACCTACTCACCTACCGCCACTCCGCCGGTCATTCGCGTGTTTCTGGACTTCGTTGGCAGACGCGGGATGCTCCTCCACTCCATGGATGTCACCACGGCCTTCTTACAAGGCGACCTCCACGAACTCATCTTCTTGGAACGTCCCAAGGGCTTCCACGCTCCTCACGACCCTGCCACCGTCTGGAAACTACTACGCCCTGTTTACGGGCTCAAACAAGCACCTCGAGAATGGCACGCCAAACTCTCATCCACCCTTCGCGCACTTGGCTTTCGCCCCTCCCGTGCTGCCTCTTGCCTCTTCCTTCGCTTAACTCCGTCACCCTTCTTCATCCTCGTCTACGTCGACGACATGCTGCTAGCAGCTGAGACAGCTGCTGAACTTCAGGAGGTCAAGGATGAGCTGCAGCAACGTCTCGCCTGCAAAGATCTGGGGGAAGTCCGCAACTACCTTGGCATGGAGATCACCCGCGACCTCACTGCCAAGACTATCACCCTCTCTCAGTCATTCTACATCGGGAAGGTGCTCGAGAGATTCGGCATGTCCAAATCCAAACCCATCCCCACACCACTTGCATTCGGGCATCGGCTGTCCCCTCCAGCCACTCCTGTCACCTCCCCTCATCCCTATGCAGAACTCGTTGGGGCCCTGATGTACGCCATGGTCTGCACTCGTCCCGACCTTGCATACCCCGTCAGTGTCCTGGCGCGGTTTGTTGGCACTGGCAGGCATGGTGAGGAGCACTGGAAGGCGGCCATGCGTGTTCTGCGCTACCTCCAAGGCACAAAGGACTATGGCCTCACGCTTGGTGGTGTGGACCCACCTGTTCTTCAAGGCTTCAGTGACTCATCTTGGGCGGATGCACAGCCGGACCATCGCAGTTCTCAAGGATATGGCTTCTCCCTTGGGAGCGGCCTCATCAGCTGGCGCTCCACTCGCTCCTCCTCCGTCGCCCTCTCCTCCTGCGAAGCCGAGCTGTACGCAGTCACCATGGCGGCTCAAGAGGCACGCTGGCTTAGCTATCTTCTCACCGACCTTGGCTCACCACAGCCCTGCCCCACCCTGTGGTGTGACAACGATAGTACCATCCACCTCACCAAGGAGGCCGTCTTTCATGGTCGCTCCAAACACATCGAACTCCGCTACTACTTTGTCCGCGATCTTGTGCAAGATGGTCACATCACTGTTCGTAAAATCGACTCGTCCGCCAACCTCGCTGACCTCTTCACCAAGGCTCTCCATCGCTCTAACCACTCTGCGCTCCTGCGCCTTCAGGGACTTGCTCCCCGCGGTGGCTGATTCAGGGGTTGTTGCGTTCTCTCTTCCAAAGCCTATGGATTTCTGCAGGTTAAGGGGTTGTGTCAGATTACCATCTTCATTGTAACCTGCATCATCATATAAGCTTTGACTAGAGATAGGCACCCAAACTTAGTTTGGGTGCACAACTAGGGTTTACCCTAGTTTGAGGTTGGAACCCAACCTTGGCCCAATTATTGGGCCCCCAAGGTTGGGTTGGGAGATTATTGGCCCCCCCAATAATGTTGACCCACTTTTGGTCAACATTATTGGTCCCCCCAATAACTCCTCAACCCAACTTATTGGTGGGGGCCAATAATGTTGGCATGGCTCCTACATCCTAGCTCAACTATGTAAACCCATGCCCTTCCTAATGAAACTATCGGTTGTTCTTACACTTTCTCACACCAGCTTGGACATTGGAACCTGTGAAGAAGAGTGTGCAGAGACGGGCAACAAAGGGGGACTGTCTGGGATGGGGGCGACTCAAAAGCAGGATATCCACCAGTGACACCTTGGACATGGGAAGGTGAGAGCATGTGGTGCACATGTGGACAAATCAGCAGGTTGCAGCAGGTTAACCCAAGCTCTTATGTGGCATGAACCATGGGGCATGGAGCGTGGGGCATGGGGCATGGCGATTGGGGCACGGCGATTGGGGCATGGGGCATTGAACATGGGGCATATGGTGGCACCTGGATGGGGAAGAGGGCGATGAAGCAGCGTAGCATGGAGTCGACCAGAGCCACTCCCAAAGGCACGGACTGCAGTGGAGAGTGCCGTGGCGATGCGGGAAAGCAGGGGGCGAGGAGCGTGTAGGGGGATGGAAGAGAAGGGTTGGTGAGAGAATGAACAAGGAAGATTGCGAGGAGTATTAACGAGTGGGGAGGAGGAAAAGGGAGGACGGGGATATAAGGTCCAAGGAGTTGAGATAGGACGAGTTGTGGTGGTAGCTGCATTGTGAGGCCCAGACGAGAGGAGGAGTACAAGGGTGTGCATGCGACGCGTAGCTTGTGCAGGGTGCGCAGTGCAGGGTGTGTATGATGTGTATAGTGTGTACTTCATAGAAGCGCAAGGAGGGGTTGCTTGCACCTGTGGGAAGGTGGAGGTGTCATCCTCCCAGACTGACGCAATTACCCCATCCATGCCACCCTCTAGTGCTCGCAACTCGTCCTCCAACACATCCCTGTGCTCACACATGGACACACATGCACGCACACATGCATGTACGCACACGCATACAAGCACATGCACACACACGCCGGACACGCATGCACTTACACACACATGCACATGCACGCACACACACACACACATGCACACACACACACACACACACACACACACACAGACACACACACACACACACACGCGCGCGCGCGTGCACATGCATGCACACACACTCACACGCGCACATGCACGCACACATGCGCGCGCGCGCACACACACACACATGCGCGCGCACACACATGCATGCGCTCGCGCGCGGGGGAACACACACACATCAACAAGCATGTGAGTGGACGGTTCTGACTGCATGCGCGAAAGTAGGGATGTGTGTGTGTGTGTGTGTGTGTGTGTGTGTACCATGGTATGCACGTGCATCCAATCCACCAAATTCAAAGGAAGCAGACGCAGCATAAACAGGAGAACAGGAGGACAATGCAATGGGCAGGAACATCGTTGTCAGATTAGAAAAGAGGAGCGGAAAAACAGGGGATGGGAAGGAGGAAGGGGAGAGGGGAGTGTGGAGTGAAAGGGGGGAGAAAGGAGGGGGAGCGAGGGAAAAGGGGGGGAGGAGGAGGGAAGGGGAGGGAGAAGGGAAGGTGGGTGCGAAGACGATCTGAAAGCTGACCTTCCGGGAAACCAGGGGCCAAGATTGGCGTCGCTGGGTTCAAGCAGAGTGCGGAGGAGAGAGCTGCTGGGGTATGATGCCGTCTCTCTGAGGGGGGGAAGGGGGGAGAGTGGTGGGGGAAGTGTGGGAAGGGGTGTTAGAAAACCTCTATTCTATTCATCCTGCATATGCTAGTTCGCTTGTCTAGAGTTAAGCACCCAAACTTAGTTTGGGTGTACAAACAGGAGTAACCCAGTTTGTAGGTTGGAACCCAACCTTGGTCCAATTATTGGACCCCAAAGGTTGGGTTGGGTAGAATTATTGGTCCCCTCCAATAATGTTGGCCCAACTCCAACTTGGCCAACATTATTGGACCCCACCAATAATCTCCCAACCCAACTTCTTGGTTGGGGTCCAATAATGCTCACCTAGGCTAGTATCCAACCCACTTCCTATGTATACCCCCATCCTCCTCAATCAATCATCAACTTCTTTCAGTTCTCAAGTCATCCTTCACAGAATTCTAACATGGTGTCAGAGCATTTTGGCTCACGCCCCTCACGATCCTAGGACCATGTGTCCTGCGTGTCCTTCCACGCGATTTCGCGGCGGTTTCGGTGCCGTCCGCCGAATCACGACCATCGAGGCCGTCGCGACCAGCAGCCGCGCGGACTCAATTTTACGGCGATTTCGGCACCCTCCGTCCGCCGCATCGCTACAGCCGCTCCCGTCGCCTCCGCCCTCGCGCCTAACGGCGCCCCGCTCCCGTCGCCTCCGCCCTCGCGCCTAACGGCGCCCCGCTCCCGTCGCCTCCGCCCTCGCGCCTAACGGCGCCCCGCTCCCGTCGCCTCCGCCCTCGCGCCTAACGGCGCCCCGCTCCCGTCGCCTCCGCCCTCGCGCCTAACGGCGCCCCGCTCCCGTCGCCTCCGCCCTCGCGCCTAACGGCGCCCCGCTCCCGTCGCCTCCGCCCTCGCGCCTAACGGCGCCCCGCTCCCGTCGCCTCCGCCCTCGCGCCTAACGGCGCCCCGCTCCCGTCGCCTCCGCCCTCGCGCCTAACAGCGCCCCGCTCCCGTCGCCTCCCCCCTCCCGCCTACCGGCGCCCCGCTCCGCCGCCTCGTCGCCTCGCCATCCTGCCCTCCTTTCCCCTCGTTTCATCCTCCTATGGGCTATCCCGCCCCCTTTCCCCCTCGCTTCATCCTCCTAAGGGCCATCCCGCCCTCCTTCCCCCCCTCGATTCCTCCTCTTAAGGGCCATCCCGCCCTCCTTCCCCCTCGCTTCCTCCTCCTAAGGGCCATCCCGCCCTCCTTCCCCCTCGCTTCCTCCTCCTAAGGGCCATCCCGCCCTCCTCCCCCCTCGTTTTCTCCTCCTTAAGGGCCATCCCGCCCTCGTTCCCCCTCGCTTCCTCCTCCTCAAGGGCCATCCCGCCCTCCTCCCCCCTCGTTTCCTCCTCCTTAAAGGCCATCCCGCCCTCCTTCCCCTCGTTTTCTCCTCCTTAAGGGCCATCCCGCCCTCCTTCCCCCTCGCTTCCTCCTCCTAAGGGCCATCCCGCCCTCCTTCCCCCTCGCTTCCTCCTCCTCAGGGCCATCCCGCCCTCCTTCCCCCTCGCTTCCACCTCCTAAGGGCCATCCCGCCCTCCTTCCCCCCCTCGTTTCCTCCTCTTAAAGGCCATCCCGCCCTCCTTCCCCCTCGCTTCCTCCTCCTAAGGGCCATCCCGCCCTCCTCCCCCCTCGTTTCCTCCTTAAGGGCCATCCCGCCCTCGTTCCCCCTCGCTTCCTCCTCCTCAAGGGCCATCCCGCCCTCCTCCCCCCTCGTTTCCTCCTCCTTAAAGGCCATCCCGCCCTCCTTCCCCTCGTTTTCTCCTCCTTAAGGGCCATCCCGCCCTCCTTCCCCCTCGCTTCCACCTCCTAAGGGCCATCCCGCCCTCCTCCCCCCTCGCTTCCTCCTCCTCAGGGCCATCCCGCCCTCCTTCCCCCTCGCTTCCTCCTCCTTAAGGGCCATCCCGCCCTCCTTCCCCCTCGCTTCCTCCTCCTAAGGGCCATCCCGCCCTCCTCCCCCCTCGTTTCCTCCTCCTTAAGGGCCATCCCGCCCTCCTTCCCCCTCGCTTCCTCCTCCTAAAGGGCCATCCCGCCCTCCTCCCCCCTCGTTTCCTCCTCCTTAAGGGCCATCCCGCCCTCCTTCCCCTCGTTTTCTCCTCCTTAAGGGCCATCCCGCCCTCCTTCCCCCTCGCTTCCACCTCCTAAGGGCCATCCCGCCCTCCTTCCCCCCCTCGATTCCTCCTCTTAAGGGCCATCCCGCCCTCCTTCCCCCTCGCTTCCTCCTCCTAAGGGCCATCCCGCCCTCCTCCCCCCTCGTTTCCTCCTCCTTACGGGCCATCCCGCCCTCCTTCCCCCTCGCTTCCTCCTCCTCAGGGCCATCCGCCGCCCTCTCGCTGCCGCCGTCCCCCTTCCGCCGCCGCAGCCCTCCCGCTGCCGCCGCCGTTCCCCTTCGCAGCCGCAGCCCTCCCGCTGCCGCCGCCGTCCCCCTTTCGCAGCCGCAGCTCCCCCGCTGCCGCCGCCATTCCCCTTCCGCCGCCGCAGCCCTCCCGCTGCCGCCGCCGTTCCCTTTCCGCCGCCGCAGCTCTCCCGCTGCCGCCGCCGTTCCCCTTCCGCCGCCGCAGCTCTCCCGCTGCCGCCGCCGTTCCCCTTCGCAGCCGCAGCCCTCCCGCTGCCGCCGCCGTCCCCCTTTCGCAGCCGCAGCTCTCCCGCTGCCGCCGCCGTTCCCCTTCCGCCGCCGCAGCCCTCCCGCTGCTGCCGCCGTCTCCCTTCGCCGCCGCAGCTCTCCCGCTGCCGCCGTCGTCCCCCTTCGTCGTCGCAGCCCTCCCGCTGCCGCCGCCTTCTCCCTTCGCCACTACCCCTTCGGCTGGCCACCGTCAGCAGGTCCCCCCCCTCCTCTCCCCCCCGGCTCGCAGATGGACTTCACGCCGCAAGCCCCTTTCCTTCAGCTTCTCTGCCTGGCATCGCGTTCATGCTTCAGGGGTTGCCCCGTCTCTCATTCAAGCCTCCTAGCCCTATGCAGGCTGAGGGGTTGTGTTAGAAAACCTCTATTCTATTCATCCTGCATATGCTAGTTCGCTTGTCTAGAGTTAAGCACCCAAACTTAGTTTGGGTGTACAAACAGGAGTAACCCAGTTTGTAGGTTGGAACCCAACCTTGGTCCAATTATTGGACCCCAAAGGTTGGGTTGGGTAGAATTATTGGTCCCCTCCAATAATGTCGGGCCAACTCCAACTTGGCCAACATTATTGGACCCCACCAATAATCTCCCAACCCAACTTCTTGGTTGGGGTCCAATAATGCTCACCTAGGCTAGTATCCAACCCACTTCCTATGTATACCCCCATCCTCCTCAATCAATCATCAACTTCTTTCAGTTCTCAAGTCATCCTTCACAGAATTCTAACAAGGGGAAGTGGGTAGAGAGGGGGGGGAGAGGAGGGAGAGAGAGGGGGGGGAGAGGGGGGAGAGAGAGAGATGGGGGAGAGGAGGTGGTTCGAAGGTCGTAAAAAGTTGAAAGGAGCAACAGAATTGGAGGGGTGATGATTTGGTATGACAGGGCACGGGTGGCACGAACGAGGAGACAGACACCAGGTCGTGCACGGAAGGTGTTGAGTGTGTGCACTAAGAGGTCTATATTTGAGGCGCCTCATAAAACGTGGCAGTACCGGAAGGGAGCGGTGCAGATGTCGATGAGCATGGGGTGCAGGTGGCGGTAGAGCGCAGGGTCGGGCAGAGCGTGGAAGGTGTTGAGCGTGCGCACTATGAACAGCTCCGCATGCTGCTTCACTGATGACGATGCCTCGCCCAGGGTTGATGACGCGATGTACGTGAGTGCTCTGTGAGGTGGGGACAATAGGGGGGGAAAGGGGAGGGTCGGGGAGGGGAAGGAGAAGTGAAGGTGTTGAGTGTGCGCACTATGAACAGCTCCGCGTGCTGCTTCACTGATGACGAAGCCTCGCCCAGGGTTGACGATGCTATGTATGTGAGTGCCCTGAGGTGGGGGCGGGATGCAAGAGAGAGGTGGGACGGGGAGGAGAGCAGCGTGCACACTATGAACAGCTCTGCATGCTGCTTCAATGATGACGACGCCTCGCCCAGGGTTGACGATGCTATGTATGTGAGTGCTCTGTGAGGTGGGGATGCGAGGGAAGGGCAGGGGGTAGGAGAGGGAAAAGCAGCAGGGCACTATGAACAGCTCCGCGTGCTGCTTCACTGATGACGAAGCCTCGCCCAGGGTTGACGATGCTATGTATGTGAGTGCCCTGAGGTGGGGGCGGGATGCAAGAGAGAGGTGGGACGGGGAGGAGAGCAGCGTGCGCACTATGAACAGCTCTGCGTGCTGCTTCACTGATGACGATGCCTCGCCCACGGTTGACGATGCTATGTATGTGAGTGCTCTGTGAGGTGGGGTACGACGATGGGGCGAAGGTGAAGGTGGGTGAACCGTTGGGGAGAGGGGAGGGAACCAAGGGTGACAAAACTCAAACTAGCCACCATGCCGGAAGTAGTACCTATCCCGAATAAGAGAGCCACCGTTCCACGAGTGATAACCCAAACCCAGCTCATACAGCAACAACGCCTACACCACAAGCCCTACAGCAGCAACTCATAGGCGTTGCGCCTGCGTACCCTGAGAAGTAGCCCGTGACGGGTAAATGATATGGCCAAAGAGGGCGTTTGACTTCTGAGATTTCCCGAAAGCCGATTTTTTAGTCAACTCAAAACCAATAGAAACAAGACAGCCCAAACAGCAATGCCTACACTGCACCACCAGAACACCTGCACTACACCAGCAATGATCGCGTACCATGAGAGGTAGCCCAATGATGGGGTTGACTTTTGAGGAATCTCACACCACACCACCATAACACCTGCACTACAGCAGCAATGCTTCCATACCCTGAGAGGTAGCCCATGATGGGGTTGATGGTCTCGGCCACAGACGGCGTTGACAGGTTGGGCACCACATAGCTCACAATAAACGCCCTCAGCGCATCCATGGCTGCGGACCAGCAGCTGACGTGGCACAGGGGTGAAGTGAGATGTGGAGGGGGGACAAGGGAAGGTGGGAACAGGAGTGAGTCTTCCAATAGGTCAGTGCATCCATGGCTGCGGACCAGCAGCTGACAGAGCACAGGGGTGAGACGTGCAGGGGGGGCATTGGACAAGGCGAGCGAGGGAGCAGGATAGAATTCTTCAAGCAGATCAAAATCAGCTTGGTTTGAAGTGAGCGAATTTTTAAGGCATCCGTGGCTGTGCACCAGAACATGACACATCGCAGCACTAAAATGTGATGGGCAGGGGAAGGTGGGAATCGGGTTTGAACGAAAATCGACAGCAGAGTGTGGCAACAAGGGGAGAAGAGACGAGCAGCAAAAAAAAAGAGGGGGGGGGGGAGGGAAGAGAGGGGGGGAGGGGGAAGGGAAGGGGGAAAAGAGTTTCCCAGGGACGTGGCACAAAGAGTGGGTGTGGTGTGGAGAAAGAGGAACACACTTGAGCTCCCCAGGCAGGCTCGCAGCGTCGATTCTCTTGACTCGGTCGGCACAGCTGCCCCCAAAGGGCATGGTCCACAGGGCAAGAAACTCCACCTCCCTCCGCGCCACCTCCTGCCAGCCACCACCGCATGTGACCAAATGCAAGGGAGGGCGCGGTGTGCAAGGGAGGGCGCGGGGAGCAGGGCAAAAAAGGGGGACAGGGAGGGATGGTTTGAAAGTACAAGATGAGGGCGTGGGAGGAAGGGCTCGGCTCCATGCCAGTCACATCTATGTGGTTTGAAGAAGAGTAGCGAGGAGAGTTAGAAGGGAAGATGCGGCATGGCCAGAGAGAGGAAGGTGCCAAATCAAGGATTCTGGTAGGGAGAGAGAAGGAGAAGAAAGGAGAGAGAAGAAAGGAGAGAGAAGAAAGGAGAGAGAAGAAAGGAGAGAGAAGAAAAGCAGCACCCACCTCTTTGGGCATGGAGAGCAGCAGCGAGGCGATGAGGATCCAGCCAGCCTCGTGGTCTGCTGCTGCTGCTGCTGGCAGCTGGCCTGGCGACAGCACCATCTGCTGTGCCATGTCGAGAATGGAGAGCGAGAGGCTGCAGAGAGACAAGGGAGATGGTGGGGAAGACATAGTGAGAGTGAAGGGTGGATGACACGGGCAAGAGAGTTGCTGTTTCTTTGAGCTCAGCTCCTTGAGGTCACTAGAAGTCAAAGCTAAGAGTGACATGGTATTTGTTCCAGTACCAAAGAGGCAAGAGGCAAGAGGCAAGAGGCAAGAGGAACGTTCAGAGGTCACCTGGAAGGGAGGCCGAGAGGCAGCTTGGGCCCAAGGACGAGCAGAGCGGAGAGCATGAGCGCCTGGCCGTGCAGGGAGTCTAGAGTCACCTTCAGACGCTCGCCCTGTGGGTATGCATGCACACACACACATGCACACACACACATGCACACACACAGAGTTGTGGGTTGCAGGTGTGACGCCAAGAGGTGCGTTAACATTGAGGAGTGAGCAAAGAGCGGAAGGAAAGAGGGCGCACCTTCTCTGTGTTGATGGTTTCCCTGAGCGCACGGAGCGCAGTGAAGCCGGAGAGGATGAAGGAGTGGGCACGGGACGCGTCCACCTGTGCCAACACCTTGATGGTGCGCGCTGCCTCCACCCGCACCTGATGCCATGCCATGCCATGCCGTATCGTGCCATGTCACATCGTCCCATGCCATGTTGTGTCATATCATGACATGCCATATTGTGGTGGAATGTCATGTCATGTCATGCCATGCCATGCCATGCCATGCCATGCCGTGTCATGCCACACCATGTCGTGTTGTTGTGCCATTCCATGCCATCGTACAGCAATATCTCAGCATATTCCATGCCACGTTCACACCCAGTAGCACAATACCCATGCCACATACACACAAGGATACGGAAGAAGAATGGGGATAACGTCGACAGGGAAGCAAGAAGGCACCAGAGCACACATTCACTACTCATTATCACCCCACACATACAGCACACCCTCTAGGATGGAAGCCTGCCTACAAGATGCAACACGGGGCACACAGGAGGAGAGTATGCGGGAGAACGCACAGCAGGAGAGGGGTTGGAGAGAGTTGCCAGGAGACCGTAGTCCAGTGCCTCTCTTGCTGCTTGTGTGACCTGCACAGCACAGCACCGCACCGAACCACACAGCACAGCACAGGCAGGGTGATGCAACTTGAGACAAGTGAATACAAGAACAGGGAGGAGAGAGCCAAAGAATGAAGACGGCGTGAGTGGAGAGACAAAAAAGGAATCGAGAGGAAAGGAGCATCCATAAGCAGGATCACTTCCTTTGTTCCAATACTGGTACAGCAACAAAGCATGGCACAAATGTCATTTTGACTCAAGTCTTATCTGAGTAGAAAAGATGAGCAAGTTTTACTGAACGAAGGGTCAGGTTGAGAGGGAATTGAGAATCCTCCAACAAGCACGGACCTCGCCAAGCGTGTTGAGGAGGTGGGAGAGTGTGCGCAGAGCAGCAACGAGCATGTGTGGACCCATGTCACTGGCAGTCAGCTGCGCTCATAGACAAAGGTGAGGAGGTTGTAGAGGGAGGAGATAGCGAGGGAGAGGAGGAACGTGGAGGGCGGGAAAGTGGATTTGGTTCATTGTGGAATGTCTGAAGAGTATAGCCGATAGCAGCAAACAGCGCTAAGAAAGGAGTCACAGCACGGCTGACTGGGTGGGTGGGATCAATCACAGCATCTCACTCACTGCTGACGGTAAACATGCCCTCTTTTCCTCCTCCCCTCTTCTTTACTCCCCTTCCCCCTCCTCCCCTTTCCCCTTTCTCCCTGTCCCAATCCTCTAAATTCCCTCCTCCGTCCCTTTCCCCTTCCCTCCTCCCCAGTCTCACCTGGTTTGTGAGTGTCCGCGTAAACTCTCGCTGTGCCTCCTCCCCCATCTGCTCCACAAGCCCCACTTGAAGAATATACAGCGCACACGCCTGCACACCCATCATAGCAACAACAGATACAGATTTCCAGCTGTTGCACTTCAGAAATGTGTTTTTTTTTTGTTTTGTTTTTTTTTGTTTTTTTTTTTTTTTATTTTTTTTTTTTTCCACCAGCTGATTTCCTAGTTCATACGGCTGGGAGTCCCCTTCCCACACATGCCCGCACGCATGATCCCCTCCTTTCACAAACACACACCTGCACACAGACAAAAACACCTATCTTTTACTCACACCACCACATACCACACTCACACCACTTATCATAACCGCACCATCTCACTCCAGTCCAGTCTTGCACGCAACACCACACTCTTTCTAGCCGGCATTGCACTGGTCCAACAATTCTTCACACCGCTTTATCCCATAAGACTCCTCCCACAGACAAAATGTAAAAAAGGTAAAATAGAACCCAGGAGCATAAAACCGACACAGTAATGAGCGCCCCTTATGCAAGTTAAGAAAAAATCAACCAGTGCCATTCGATTCAACCTCCTCCCAAACACAAAAGCCAATCCTCCCCTCCTCTCTACACCATCTGAAACCCGAGCATGAGCATGCTGCCAGCACAAGCTTCTGTCATGCCCTTACAGCCCTTCCACATCAAATCTTCACACAAGCCTCCATTCCCCTCTCCCTATCCCTTCCATCTCCCCATCCCCATCCCGCCTAGGCTTGCACCTGAGCCTGCGAGTCAATGGAGCGGGCATAGGCGGGCAGCAGCGCCAGGGCCTGCATGCCATAGGGCACCAGGTCCATGTCTGCTACTCCGTACTGCGCCCTCAGACTCTGGTGGGAGAGGGGTGAAGGAAGGCGGAGGGAGAATGGGGGGAGAAGGGGTGGGGAGGGGGTTGAAGGGAAGCAATCGAGAAATAGGGTGTGAACAAGCCCCCAAACATGTCTGCGAATTTTTTAGGGCAATGTATCCAAGTTTGCTACTCCAGTCCAGACTGCGTTCTCAGACCCCTGAGAAAGGTGAATTGGGAGAAGGGGCAATGTGGGTTAGAGAGAGGCACAAGCAGATCCCAGAACGTGTGGCTGGATCTCCTGCACATGTAGAAAGGCATAATGCATGAGATGAGTCATGACCACTGAAACCATGAGCCTATGATGTGTGCTACTCCATACTGTGCCACCAGCTAAGACCCTGGGGTGATGAGCGGAGGGGGGCTCAGTGAGAGAGATGAGACGAGCGAAGGAGAACCAAAGGCCTTGAACCAACAAGAGGAGGAGCGGAGGGAGGAGATGAAGGGGGTGAAGGAGGAGATTTTTGCTGCTTACCTGGAGTAGTGCCACCCATGCCATGGCAATGGCCAAAAGGTTTTTGAAAAATTACCAAAAAGGCCCGAGGGGGAGAGGGGCCCGAGAGGGGGACTGTTGCTGCTTACCTGGAGTAGAGCCACCCATGCCATGGCAATGGCCAAAAGGTTTTTGAAAAATTACCAATAAGGCCCGAGGGGGAGAGGGGCCCGAGAGGGGGACTGTTGCTGCTTACCTGGAGTAGAGCCACCCATGCCATGGCAATGGCCAGGCGAATCTCCTTGCTGCGCGATGCTGGGGCTGCACATGGCAACACATTGAGGCATATACAAGCAGGGAAGCAGGGGTATGTGCACACTCATACAGCACCCATAGGCACGCAACACTCCCAGAACAACACAATCATGCGCAGCCATGTATGAGTGCACACGCATGCATAAAGCCCAACAAAAAAATCGAAAGCAAGAAACACACAACCATGGATATTCAGAAAACAAACGAGCAGCGGACCAGAAGCCAAGCAGGCCACGGGAGGAGGATTATACATTCATCCATGGCAGCACAACAACGGACTGAGGCATGACAAACGTTGTGAGCTGCTTGAAACAAACAAAGGGGAGACACAGGTGGGTGGCTGCAGTGGGAGCAGAGCAGGGATGGGGGGACTAGAGAGGGAGGGAGGGGCGCACCTCGAACAAACGGCGTGGTGAGATACTTCTGAATTGCGTTGTCCATGGCCTTGGGGGGTGCTGCTGACGACTTGCCCCTGGGTACGATCTGCAGTACACATACATGCACGAATACATACATCGGCGTATGTGTGAGAACAGGAACGAGAACAGGAACGATAGGAGGCCATGCCTAATGGGGACACAAAGGAAGTTGGCGGAAGGAAAGTCCAAGTCGAAAGCAAAAACGGAAAGAAGCAAAAAGAAACTGCGGGCAGCATTCTTGCTCCCTAGCGCTCTCCCCCTTCACCCTTCCCTCCCTCACTCCTTCAGTCACTCACTCACGCACAAACAAACAAACCAGAACGAGCATGCATAAGCTGAACAGGCGCAGTGCAGGGCTGACTGACCTGAGCGGAGGGGTTGAGGCCGAGAACCACGGCTCCCAGAGCAGCAGCAAAGGCGTCCCTCACAGCCTGAGAAGGATCGTCCACCGCCTGTTGGTGCGCCATAACCATGTACATTTCCCATGGCCGTGCCCATGCCCATGCCCATGCCCATGCCCGTGCCCGTGCCGTGCCCATGCCCATGCCCATGCCCATGCCCATGCCCATGCCCATGCCCATGCCCATGCCCGTGCCCATGCCCGTGCCCGTGCCCGTGCCCATGCCCATGCCCATGCCCATGCCCGTGCCCATGCCCATGCTCATGTACATTCCCCAAGCCCATGCGCATGTACATTCCCCATGGCCATGATCACGCCCATGCCCACGCACATTCCCATGCTCATACCCACCACACACACAACAAAAGTGTTTCATTGCAATCACACCACGACAGAGCGGCATAGCTTCCGCAGGGCATGAGAGAGAGAGCACACAGTCCCTTGATAACTGCTACTGCTCTGCTACCGCCCTGGAAGTAGTGCGCTCCGGTCTCGCTCACAAGAAGGGCGGCCGCACCTTTCCTCCACGCCCATCCCCACCCATCCCCACCCACCTTCACACAGAGCTGCGCCATGGAATCCAGCGCGCCTCCCGCCAGCCCTGGTCCCCCAGTAACCGCCAGCGCCTGGATGCAGTGCGCCGTGGTTTCGCGCACAAGGGCGGACCTGTCCCTGACGCCGTAGCTGGAGAGTGCGCGCACTGCATCAGTGTACGCGGAAGTGGGCCCCGCGCCCTTCATCACCTCGATCGCAGCCAGCAGCAGCTGCAGGGAGGCGTTTCGCACGCTGGGCTGAGGGAGGGAGAGGAGTGGAGAGGGGGAGGGAGGTGGCGGAGGGTGCAGGAAGGGGGGTGGCAGCGGGAGGGGGGAAAGGAGGGCGAGTTGGAGAGGAGACAGCAAGATATGATGGAAGCGTGCCAAACGGAAGCCAGCAGAGGACCGACACGGAGGGGTGGCTAACCATGTGCGGACGGGAAACAACGACAGAAATAAGGCAAATCCAACAGAGGAAGGAGAGGGGCCGTGTAAGGAAGCGAGCACGGACCTCTGCGTTGCGCAGCAACCTGCTGACAACGTTGACGGTCTCTGTGAGGCTGGATGCAATCCGCGTGCCAAACGCACGCGTGATGGTTGTCAACGCTTCCAGTGCTCCTGCTCGCAAGGATTTGAAAAACATGCACTTGTTGAAGGCAGTAGGTAGGTAGGTAGGTATGATGGTGAACTGCACGGGTCAGTGGATCAGCATGTGTGACAGGATCCCAACACAACTCACCAGTGACTGAGCGATATGGAAGCCAGTGTCATCATTGCAGGAATGGGAGCATGCATGGGAAAGAAGGGAGAGTATGGACAAGACGGTTCTTATGATTCTTCCTTTCCCTCTACCAGTCTGTTACTCCTCCTCGCCGTCGCCCTTCCACACACTCGCTCACTCAATCACTCTCTTTCCCGCGCTCGTTTCTTTCCCCCTCACTCACCAACAACAGCGGTCGCCCGCTTCTCCCCTTTCTCAAAGAACCAGCCCTGCAGGCAGCTGACGCGCGAGTACACGGAGATGCCCTCCCCGCGCTCTATCACGCGCACCAGCGCGCCTTTGGGTCGACTCAAAAGCCCCACACTCACCAACAACAGCGGTCGCCCGCTTCTCCCCTTTCTCGAAGAACCAGCCCTGCAGGCAGCTGACGCGCGAGTACACGGAGATGGAGTCCCCGCGCTCTATCACGCGCACCAGCGCGCCCGCCAGCAGCCGCCGGTTCGGGGGCCCCGCGCCCTGCAGCAACAACGCCTGCAGAGTGTCCTCGCTGCGCCGCTGCATGAGCTGCAGCGACTCCTGCGCGCGGGGAGAAGGAAGGGGGGGGTGAGGGGGGGGTCGGAGGGAGGAGGAAGCGCGACGGGGGAGGGGGGGGAAGATGGCAGATGTTATACTCTGGCTGTTGCCTACTTTAAAACCCATTGATGGAAATAAACCAGCAAATATATTCAAATCATAAGAGCTAACGATGTGAGATATCTGCCTGAGAGGTAATGATGTGCCATCACAGGTCACTTCATGGCGAAGAAAGCACCAAGAATCTTCCGCCTCTGAGTTTCTAATTCCTTTTGCGGGTAGATTGAGCCAGAGGGTGTTAGAGTTACTTTGCGTTCAATCTCAATCTAGCGACGGCGATAAGGCGCATCCAACCCAGCGCTGGACGTGATGGTTTAACGGATTAGAAAGAGACACGGAAAAGTTTCGAGCCAAAATTCTGCTTGCCTCTGCGAAAGCACACATGCACAATCGACATCATTTTCTCACCTCGGGTTCATGCTCGATGGAGGCATGGAGATTCTTGAGCAGATCGAAGCAGAAGAGGGGATCAGGCGGCTTAGCGGCGGCAGAGTGAAGTATAAGCTCCAGCTCAGATATCACCGCACTGAGCTTCTGAACCTCCTCCACGTGCTTCACCTCCATTCGCTGGGAAGAAAGGAGTCGAAAGGGAGAGAGACACGAGTGTAAAAGAAAGCACTTCCGAAAGAAAAAGGCACGCTTCGCGCTGCCGTCACCAGGGTTGCAGCTTTAACAGGTTTTGAACCAGATTCTACTATAATGGCCCCTTGATGAGATGCCAGGAAACCCGGTCCTCAGGGAGAAAGCTATCATGACACGCGCGCCAAGAGCTGACAGAATCTATGAGGCTATAAAATGAGGAACACGTGTGCAAAAAAATGTTGTACTCGTAGGCCAAATGTGCTAGACCGAGCAACGTCGCATCTGTCGGCATGTTCGCAACATGCCTAATCAGCAAGGCTCGAGCAGTACACAGCCATCAATCAGAAATCCTAAGCATTAATTTGCAAATATCATTCTGCACGGTTCTAAAACTAAACATTTGCCGTACCGTTACGAGCGATACCTCTACCGACAAATTTGTCTGGCGTCGCAGGAGAAATGCGGACTCTGATGCATGCGCGCCTTAGCAATGAGAAGGAAAAGAATGGGATCACAAAATCGTTCACCGACCTGTGGAGGACGGCACGGAAATCTTGCTATATGATGAAGCCAGCACGGCGTATGGTACCCTCCAACGACCACAATACACAGACCTGCGGGAAATTCTACGACACCAAAGCTCTAAAACGGCGATCACGGAAAGCTTATTTCAGAATGCAACCGCCATGTGGATCTCGGAGCAAACTGACTGCAGGCAGCAGAGGGGAGTTGCCTGCTTGGCTGAACACAAACTGGGTTCGGTCGCGAGTGGCGTGGTGGGCATGGGTGTGGGAGTGACAGAAAGTGGTGGCGGGAAACCGATCACCTCCGCCCAGAGAACAGATTGACGATTAATTTTGATGATACAAACGTGAGTTTGTGCACTAGGTTCGATACGTTGCTTGAAATATAGATGCAAGAGCACGTAATGTTATTGCTGCCTGGCCACTCAGCTTGTAAAGCTCAGAAAATTGGGATTTATTTCCCAGAAATATTACCTCCTGATGTAGATCTACTACACATTGAGAGCCATTGATGGTATACTATATCTTCTCAATAAATATTATTTTTCAGCATATCATGACATATACAGTGTTTTGAGTAGTAATTAACATAGTAAATATCTTGATAACCGGTAAAATTGCATGTATATGAATCACATGCAGTAGCTAATGAATATTATAAGCGTCAGCACTACAGAAGTTGACAAAAAATGGTAGCAATACGATCTTTGCATGCTCCAGGAATGCTGGCAGCGCGAACATATCCTTGATCTTTCCCATGCACTAGCTTAGTCAGCATTCGCCACGTCAACTTGTCGTGGTGTCCGAGGGATTCGTCATCCTCACCTGATTTCCTACCCTGCTCATCCCAAGGACATCCCCCTATTTCCTCCGCACTCCCCGGGTTGCCCAAGAAACCGCGCATTCCCCTTTCCGCGCGCCCGCAACCAAGACGAATCCGCCGCTCTTCCTATTCTCTCAGCCTGAATCCGTGTCCCTGAATACCTGGTCTAAAACCCCTTCTTAGAATCTGTGAATCTTTTACATTCACTCTGTAGCTCCACCATTATTCCTGGTAGCCCGCCAGTTCCACGCGCTAGCCCCCAGGCTGCTAGTGCGGTATCTTATTTTGCATAACACGTAGTCGGCTGATTGCGAGGGATCTCGTTTTTTTGCGTCTAGCGCCGCTTTTTCGACGTCCTAGATTTCGGAGTGTGTGAGGGAGGTTCGAAGTCGTAGAGCCAGGAATTCTTCACGAGAGAAGATGGTGGACGAAATCGAGACCGAAGAGCGCAAGGAGCTCGACCTTACTTCCTCCGATGTCGTCACCAAGTATAAGGCAGCTGCGGAGATTGCCAACAGTGAGTGCCTTTCTGTACAGCCGTTTCCTCTTATGTGCCTTTCTTTGCCGTCAAGATTGGCTTGTCTAGCTGCCCGTACTTTCTATTTTCCTCATCGGAGTTTTTGTACCCACGTCTCTTGGAGTCCCTGGGTTGTGACGCCATGGCCTGGATTATGTGGAGCTCTGAGCTTACAGTATTGTACGGTCGGAAGGAATCTCGTGGATTTTATTTTACTATTATTACTATTTCCAGTCCTGAGTTGTGAAAAAATGAAACGTATTTCTCTTTCCTCATTCGGACATGTTCATGCGTTATATCACAATAGGAATGTCTTTATCTGTATGAAATCTCAAGCGTCCAGTCGGCGCATCGTCCCTACCTCATCGTTCCATTATGTCCATGGAATGTTGTGCTGACATGCTGCTTACATGCTGGTCGCACATCTTGTTCTGCCTGGTCATCGCGTCGAACATACATGCTCATCTACCTGCGGTTCTGTTTTCTTGATGCTTATATTGTCCCGTGTTGCCATTCTGTCAGAGGCACTCGCGACTGTGGCAGCACAGGCCAAGGCGGGAGCAAAGGTGCTAGAACTATGCGAGCTCGGAGACAAGACTATCAACGAGTGGGTTTCTTTGTTTCGCCCTCCCTTAACCCCATGTTCAAAGTCTTTTCCGGCTTCATTCGTGTTTCTGTTGAATCTGCCATTTCTGACGGCCGTTCTACAGCGGCTATTCATCTTGTTATTCCCAGAGCACCGTCACCTGTCTAGGCCTCTTCACCCGCTTGCGCATCTACTTCGTTCTTCTCATCCTACCCCATTTTCCGCATCTGGCCGTCCTTCTACCACCCCGTGCAGGTTATCTCAGGGCGTGTTCAAGAACGCCAAGAAGAAGATAGAGCGCGGAGTGGCCTTCCCCACATGCGTGTCCGTCAACAACATCGTCTGCCATTACTCCGCCGCTGCCGGCGACGAGGCTGCTCTCGCTAACGGCGACGTCGTTAAAATGTACGCGATCTTTTGCGTCTATTGTTTTTGTGATCAACCCTGATGCTCCAGTCCGCCCTCTCTTGTGTCGTCGCCCCCCGCCTGCACTCCCTTCCCTGCCATTTGCCCCGAATCTCCCACCCCGTTCCCCGTTCCCCTTCACCCCCTCTCTTTTCCCCTCTTTCTCCCCTCCTCCTCCCCCTTTTCTTCCCCTCATATTCTTTCTCCCTCTCTACCACCCCCTTTTTCCTCCCACTCCCCCTCAACTTCCCCCCCTCCCTCTCTCCCATTCCCTCCGCCTTCCCCCCCCCCTCCCCTCTTCCCCCCTCCCCCGCAGCGACCTGGCGGCGCACATCGACGGGTTCATCTCGTCGGCGGCGCACACGATTGTGGTCCAGGAGGACGCCGCCGCGCCCGTCACGGGCAAGGCCGCTGACGTCATCGCCGCCGCCAACACCGCCGCAGAGGTCGCCTTGCGGCTCGTCCGACCGGGCAAGCACGTACGTCGTCACGTCGCAGCCAAGCAAGTAGTTGCGCGCACGCGCCTTAGTGCTTCGTTTCAATAGTTCCTCCTGCACACGTCTTTCTCGCTCTCCCTCTCTAGAACCCCAGAGCTCCTACCCCAGGTCGCCCCTCCCGCTCCTCGATTTCTCCCCATCCAGGCGCTGCCTGCGCTTCTCCCGTAGCCTCTCTCTCGTACACCCTCCCCCCCGCCGATCATTTGCCCATCCTTACGCTATCCTTCCGCCGCGCCTGTCTCGCCGCTGCGTCCCCGCCATGCCTATCAACAAGCCATCCCCTCTCCCTAGCTCTTCTGCTATTTCCCTGTCCTCCCCGCCGCCCCTATCCGGGCCGCCCTTACTCTGCCAGAGGCGGCGGGCGGCGGCGGCGGGCGGCCAAGGTGTCAACCTCATGCTGTATCCCTTCCCACCAACGCGTTCCTACCTTTCCTCCTGAATCCTTAATGATCGCGTTTCTATTCCCCTCCCCTTCCCCCCCCCCATCCCCCTCTTCCCCGTCTTCCCCCTCCCTCCCGCTTCTTCCCCCCCTGCGCATCCCGCCCTTTCCCCCCTGCGCCTCCCGCCCGTCCACCCCGCAGAACAAGGAGGTGTCGGAGGCGGTGCAGAAGGTAGCGGAGGCGTACGGCGTGCACGTGGTGGAGGGCGTGTTGTCGCACCAGATGAAGCAGTTCGTCATCGACGCCAACAAGGTCGTGCTCTCCGTCTCCTCGCCCGAGATGCGCTAATCTTTCCCACCCCCCCTTCCCCCTCTTCCCCGCCTTCCCCCTTTCCCCCCGGCCCTCCCCCCTGCGCCTCCGCCCCCCCTGCGCCTTCCCCCCCCCCTGCGCCTCCGCTCCCCCGCCCCCCCGACCAAAACCCCCTCGCGCAGAACAAGGAGGTGTCGGAGGCGGTGCAGAAGGTAGCGGAGGCGTACGGCGTGCACGTGGTGGAGGGCGTGTTGTCGCACCAGATGAAGCAGTTCGTCATCGACGCCAACAAGGTCGTGCTCTCCGTCTCCTCGCCCGAGATGCGCGTCGAGGACTTCGAGTTCGAGCCCAACGAGGTCTACGCTGTGGACATCGTCATGAGCTCCGGCGAGGGCAAGGTGAGCGGATGGGAGGGGCGTGGTTTTGGGGACGCATGCACGCGGGCTCACGCGCACCCGCACTGGCAACAAGTTCGTGCTGTCCGTCTCCTCGCCCGAGATGTGCGTCGAGGACTTCGAGTTCGAGGCGAATGAGGTGTACGCTGTGGACATCGTCATGAGCAGCGGCGAGGGCAAGGTGAGGAGGAGGAGGGGGGATGGCCGACGTCAATGCACGCATGCTTGCGCGCGCGGGGGAGGGGGAGGGGGGAGGGGGGGGGAGAGGGGGGGTTTGGGATGGTCACGCGCACCCGCACCCGCACCCGCACCCGCACCCGCACCCGCACCCGCGCGCTCAAGATCCCCCACCCCCCTTCCCTTTCTTGTACAATCCGCCTCCGGTCCCACCCTTCCCCCTTGACCTCCGTACCGTACTTGAATATGTAGTTGCTGTCCGGCTCGCTACGTCGTTTGCCCACTCTTTTTGAGTCGACTCAATAATAGGCCCACCCTTCCCCCTTGACCTCTTTACCGTACTTGAACCGGCCCACTATGTCATCTGCCCACTCTTGCACTTCCTTCCACATCACCATGACCAAGTCCTGTCCCCCTAACTCTTTCATCCCTCACATCCTTCTCTCTTTTTCCTTTTCGCGTGTGTGCGGCTGGGCATGGCTTTCTGTCCTGTCCTTTGCTCTGCTTTTCTCTGCTGTGCTCTGCTATGCTCTTCTGTGCTCTGCTGTGCTCTGCTATGCTCTTCTGTGCGGTGCGGTGTGGTGCAGCCGAAGCTGGTGGACGAGAAGCAGACGATGGTGTACAAGCGTGCGGTGGACAAGGCGTACAGCCTCAAGCTCAAGGCGTCGCGCGCCATCTTTAGCGAGATCAGCCAGAAGTTCTCCATCATGCCCTTCACTGCCAGGTGCGTTCCTCAGCCCTGCAACCCCCCAGCAGCCTAAGCGGGATTTGCCTGCCCCCTTTATGCCCATAAGTGGTTGGTGCGTTTCTCAGCACACCCAAAGGTCACCTTGAGTCCTGCCCTCATCATGCCCTTCTTTTTCCTTGGCGGACTTTCCAGTCGATTGAAAAGACGCTCTCACCTGGAGAGTACTTCCTGACATAGCCTGTAACTATTATCACACGCTTCCACAATCATGCGTCCTTCCTAGCGAGATCCGTGCACTGCATGGCCTGCTCAGCGGTCACATCTCTGTCGCCCCTGGACTGCTTGTCGTACTGCTTGCACATGCCGGCTGCTCACCACTCACTTGCTTAACCCCTGCGCTCGTACCCAGCCTGCTGTTGACCATGTATCCATTCTGGGCTCAGATCTGATCTTCGTTTCTCTTCTCCTCTCTTCCCTTGTCTTTTTTTTCTCCTCTGATCTTTTCGCTGTGCTTCCTTTTGCACTACAGGGCGTTGGAGACGAAGGCAGCACGGTTGGGGCTGGTGGAGTGCGTCAACCACGACCTGCTGCAACCCTACCCTGTGCTGCACGAGAAGCAAGGTTGGTGTGGTGCTGCTGCACGCAGGCAGGTGGAGGAGGCAGTGTGGCCAGTTGTTCGTGAATAACTGATGCTGTGTTTTTCCGGGGAATGGTTTTGTAAGAGTGGTAAGTGTGGCAATCGTTGGTGGGTAGTTTTTTTGTGAAGGGAATGTGAAGGGGATGGGTTTTTCTCTGGAGCAGGTGGAATCTCAAAGTAGTTGTACTCTGGTCAACAGTCACTAGTGTGGCTCCTAAGCAGTCATCCCATCAATCTGCTATTCTCCTTGATCCCTCTCATCCACCTCATCCACTTCCTTGCAGATTCACGTCTCCCCTTTTGCTCCCCTGCCAGGCAACACTGTAGCGCACACCAACTTCACAGTGCTGCTCATGCCTAATGGCTCAGACCACATCTGAGAATTCCCACTTGCAATCCCATTCCACTCCCGCTTCGCCCACGCTTCCCCTCTTCCCCCTGAAAGGTGACATCGTAGCACACATCAAGTGCACGGTTCGGCTCATGCCCAAGGCCCAACGGCTCGGACCACATCCAAGCATTTGCAATGCAATCCCCGTTTCCGCCCCTCTCTCACCGGTCCCCTTCCCCCCTCTACCAGGCGACATCGTAGCGCACATCAAGTTCACAGTGCTGCTCATGCCCAACAGTGCGAATCGCATCTGAGAACTTTTACTTGCAACCCCATTCTATTCCCGCTTCGCCCACTCTTCCCCTGCAGGTGACATCGTGGCGCACATCAAGTTCACGGTGCTGCTCATGCCCAACGGCTCGGACCGCATCACATCGGCCACGCTCCAAACACTGCAGCCCACGACTGAGCTGCAAGATGCCGAGGTCAAGGCGTGGCTCGCCATGTCTTACAAGACCAAGAAGAAGCCCGCTGCAAAGAAGAAGGGTGAGGAGGAGGGATGATTGCGGGAAAGTATGAACTGCACCGGCTGGTTGTGCTGTGTGGGGAAGAGGGGGGTTCTGTGAGTTTTGATTTGTGTTTTCGCTTTTCAGCTTCAGTGTGTGTCCTCCTTGGGCTGCTGTGAGGGAGGGGGTTTCTGTTCGTGTTGGTGCTGATCTGTTTTGTCTTCCTTTGTATTGCAGCTGCTAAGGAAGGTGAAGAGGAGGCAAAACCAGCTGAAGCCTCCGCATAGTGTTTGCAGAGGTCTAGTCTATGTTGACCAGATTAAGGGCTTGTGCTTGGGTTGGGGGAGCACTCAAGTACGAGTGCTCCAGCCCGTGTTGATCTGTGTTTTGACTGCATGATTAATCAAATCGGGTTTGGGTTATCTTCTCAGTTAGTAGTTATTGTTCTGAACGTGTAGCTACTAGAGTGACACCAAAGTTATCCCCGCCACACCGCACTCAGCTCCTCCCAAACGAGAGGAAACCGTGTGAACCCATTGTTGGTGAGACTGTGATGATGGAAATCAGGCAGGGACAGGAATTTTCTGGCTTGGGACGTTGCGTGCTCGCTACCGCCACGCTTTCAGGGCGTGGATGCGCATGATAGGCTCGTGAACCTCGCGATCGAGACAAGCTGCGGGGCTGTTACGTCGCTTGTCGCACGCAACATCGAAGCATCCGAACGAACGTCACCGCGACTCGCTGTCTACTTTGGCTGCAAGACGGTTCCTGTTAGCTTTCAAACGGTTTTGTAAGGTTCCTAAAGACACGCCCTGGTCTGGTTCGCAGCGCATGTTGCTCTGAGGAAGGACGCGTTTAGTCGTCAGGAGAAGCCGCTTCGGTTCAGAAGGATCTCAGAATGGCTGCGTACAGTTCAGTTGCAAGATCCGAACTGCCCCCCACGGGTCCCAGAAAAAAGTTAACGCATGCGTTGACCTTTTCAGTGAGAATAGCACCTTCTGTGCGTCACGCCCCACACTAGCCCATCCCATCCCCCTTCATTCCAGAAAAGCCATCCCATTTATAAACTACCAACACTCATAAGGGCGCGTAACTTTTTCCGTTTCGGGCAAATGTCCGGACGGGGGCCCCAAAACGTCCGAACGGAGCTCCGTCCGGACGGTTGGGGATGTGGTACGGACGACGATGAGTCCGTACCCCTATTATGACACTTTTTTGCACTTGCGGAAACTGCATTTTGAGCGAAACAGTAACGCGAATAACCCACCTCGTCAGCAAACCGGCCGCTTCGCATGCATGAAGTTGTGTCAGAAAAAAGCCGGACTGTAGAGAGTTCGCTTTTTTGTAGTGCTGTGAGTCTGTGTGCTCGTCCGGACGATAGTGGAACTTCTGTGTTGCCTTTCCGTCAAAACGTGGTTCTGGCGAGCAGGAAACCGAGTCGCCAGAACTGATAAAAAAATGTGCTTCGCGCACCAATGACGTTGCAGGAGTTCCGGACGGTCCGAAATGCTGTCCGGACGACGTCAGGAGTGTAGAACGGACGATGAACAAGCAGAAAAGTGTCAGAACTCGTACGGACGATCGCGATGTCGCAAGGGGTCTCACGAACTCAATAACGAAACTAGACGAAATGCGTAATCCTACAAAAGTCCGTACGGGTCCTCCGTCCGGACGATGAAAAGTGAAAAAGTTACGCGCCCTAAATTCAGATCCACTTTTTTCAGATCCGCCCCACAATCTCCTCACCCGATTTTGCCACTTCACTTCTGTCATCTTGGTTTTCCTCGCGGCTCCTACCACTTGCGTGAGCCTAGTTCGTGTCCGAGCCGTTTGCCAGCTCGTCTCAACACCAAACCCTAAAGTCGGATTCCTTTGTTGAGCAGCCATGAGTCTCATGTGGGTTGCCGTGGCCAGCCTCACCGGCCTCGAGGCGTTGCTACTCTTCCTCGTCACCCTGCCGCTCCCGCGTCCGCTCATCTCTCGCTTTGTGCCGTTAATTCTTGCGGCCCTTCAGCCACTCCTGGCGGTGGTGCCGTTTTGCCTTTTCTTCCTCCTCGGTCAGTGCTTTTCTCCACCCAATGATTTATTCCATTTTTCCTTTTTTATGGTCTGAGCTTCTATTCCAGCTCTTTGTACTTTTTTTTTCTTTATTTCTTTTTCTGGTACCTTCCGGAGATAACGCACGGGCTGAACACATATGTATTCTAGAACGATACTCACGATGTGATGCTTTTTCGCCCTTCTATTGCCTCCTCTTATCTTTTGCTAGCTCCCCCCCCCCCCCCCGTTCCTCCTGCTGCCGTGTTCGCGCTCTTTCCAGACGTGCACTGGATATACTAGTTCTGCATGGGTTGCCTCACGCTTAATCCCCTCCTCTTCCCCTGATTCTTGAGTCGACTCATAATTCGACTACCTCTTCCCCTGCTTCGTCCGACGGAGATGTATTGGAAGAACGAGTTTCGCATGGAATCGTGGCATATCAGAAATTTCATAAGACACCTCCTCCTTCCGTTGCCGTGTCCCGCGCTCTTTCCACGCTTTCTCCACGCTCTTTTCCGACCAGTTCCGCATGGGCTGCCTCACGCTTAATCCACTCCTTCCCTCCCCCCCTCCCTCCCCCCCCCTCTCCCCCCCCCCCCCCCCCCCCCCCCCCCCCCCCGCTGCCGTGTCTCGCGCTCTCCCCCGTCTCCCCCGGCCTGCCGTGTCTCGCGCTCTCTCCAGACGTGTACTGGAAGTACGAGTTCCGCATGGACTGCCGTGGCGGAGCATGCACGTCAGCGGACCGCGACAGATACCAGAAGTCGGTAAGGGCGTGTTACATTTTTTTACTTCCATGGTCCGTACCGCGGGCCGTCCGGACATCTGTAGGGTAACTGTTTTCGTTATGTGTTGCAAAAATTATCTCCTGTCACCATGCGACGTCGCAGCTGTACGTACCACAGATGAAACATTTTACAAATTTCCGTGTACATAACCGTTCGAACGACTCCCGTCCGTCTGCCGGAAGGTGCAACCAAACCGTCATTCGATTGGCCAACAGAAGTAGCACGACGCGTTTTTCCTCTGAGCGAACCTCAGTAACCAGTATTAGTTGTCACAATATAACACTATTCACAATTTCGAGAAGGAAAAATGTTCCAGACACCCCGCCCGGACTAGCTTCCGTCCGGGCGCGAGACCCGAACCGTCCGTGTGCAGCGTCGTGCAGCATTGTGCAGCGTCGTGCAGCATTGTGCAGCGCCGTGCAGCGTCGTAACAAATGATGGGTGGGAGCTGTGCTAGCATGCGCGTCTTATCCAGTTCAGAAGCCCACATTTATTAAGGCGTGGATCAGTCAAAGGACCGTTTGTGCCTGTTTCAGACAGTCAGATTCTCCCCCTTTTTTCTATCAAATTTTCTTTCAAGATTTTTGCCACACTCAAACCTTAGAGAGCTCTGTCAGTGCCAGCTCCAGGGTTATAAAGCCTTCTGCAGGTCGCGGTGATAACCTGTGTTGATTGGGTCGAAGTAGCTTTCTGTAGGTAATGCTCGGTCTGGAAACACACGCATGACAATCCCTGTCATCACATAAGCACGCGCACGCACGCGCGCACGCACACAACGCACAGCACATGCACGCGCACGCATCTGCACATGTACGCACGTCCACATCATTCTGTTCTGCCTGCTCTTATTGCTGCGCCACATCCACTACGCAACCCTTGTGTTGCCTTTTCCCCTTGAACCCTTCATCTCTTCTTCCTCTCCTTCATCTCTCCTTCCCGCACTCCTCTTGCATTCTCCTCTCTGTCCACTCTCTTCCGATTGTGCGCTCCTCTCACCGTTCCTCTCACCTTTTCTCTTGCCGGACCTCCCACCAGGTCATTAAGAGCCAGCGCAACTTCATCCTGGGTCTCTTCGGCATCTTCCTCTACTGGTGCTTACTTTCCTGCCATGTGCTCCCTATGTCCATGCTTGCACTACTGCGTTTTGCACCTGTGGTGGTTAATGACACTGCAATATGCGGAAATGCCTGCCAATTTACGGCTGCATGCATGCCTGCCGTTGTGCATCCACATGCTCACCAGACACGCTTGGATCCTTGGCCAACTACCCCGTTTCTGTGTGTGTGTGTTCCTGCGTGCGTGCGTGCCTACCTGTGTGCACGCCTGCCTGTGTGCATTCCTGGCTGGTTTCTTACCCGGCTGTGTACCTGCCTGTCTGTCTGTTGACCTGCATGCATGTGTGGCAGGGTGCTGTACCGCTACTGCATGCTAAGCATGAAGGTGAACAGGCTCGAGGCTCTCATTCCTGCCGACAAGCCCAAGAGGGTCACCAAGGATGCACCCAAGGAGGCGTCTAAGGAGCAGTAGCAGCAGGCGGCGCCGTGGCTGCTGGCTGCGGCGGCTGTTGGCTGAGTACAAAATGGATACCGGTAAAACCTGTGGAAGGGGGATGCATTAGGCATGTGTGGGTAACCTTAGGGTTTTACGGTGCCTGATTACCATGTAGTGTAGGAAGGAGCAGGTGAGACTTTTAGGGATCTTGATGTCAACTTGTGCATATATGAAATTCGTGTAATTGATTGAAGTTGGCAATGTAATATTTTCTGTTTCCGTTTTGTGTCACTCTTATTTGGAAATACAGCTAATGCTCGTTAGAGCCCCTCCCGGTTGCCTTGTGAAGGGGGACAGTAAGCTACAACGTCATTTCGTCGGTTCGTCGAGGGTTTCGTCACGCTTTGCGCGTGCATTAAGCGCGCACATGGTTACCATGTACTTTGTCCGTTATGTAACAGTGTCGGGTGGCACCTATTGTCACAAGTGCGCGTTACCGAAATCCTAACGAAAGCAAAACAAAACCGTAAAGCAACATCAACATTTGTTCAACTTAGATTGAAACAGCTGACACACAAAGCCGGGCCAATCACAGTCTACCACATGGCCATTCACCCCCGAGCTCAACAACATCCCCTCTACTGCAAATGTGTCCGTTATGTGTACAATCCCAACACTTCACAAATCCTCAAAAACTCCACGATCCCAACCTTCGACTCCTGCTCACGAGTCCACAAAACCAACTCACACCTGCATCCACTCCGCCGCCTCCACGTACCCGCCCATCGCGGCGCCAACCCCGCCGTCCAGAAGCTGCTGACGGCGGGACGGCTGGGTCATCCAGCCAGGCAGCACTCTGCCCCGCGGACGCGGGGTGTATGGCGTCGGAGTTGCCACAGGCGAAAGCCTGGGCGGCGGGGCAGTGTTGAGATTGAGCGCGGGGCTTGCCCGCTCCATGCGCTCAATGATGATTGGATTACGAATGTCGAAGAGGTGGCAAAGGTCGCGAGGGGTCACGCTCACGGCGCGGGCGTAGCCGATGAGCATTTCGCAGGCCGCCCGTGCCGTGCGCCGCGCTTCACGGCCCACGGGGTCGGAGTCGTCATACACCGCCTGCATCGTGGTCGGCGCCCTCCATAGCTCCGCGATCAGGCCCACGTCCGCATCATCAGTAGTCGGCTCCGCGGCCGGCTCCGCGCACGTCGGCTCGCCCTCGTCGATGGCGACGTACTCGGCGGCGGTCATCGCGCCGGTGCCGAGGCCGAGTCCGCTTATGAGCTCGCCGACGTCGTCGATGTCGTCGTCGAGCTCAATGTCGGGGTAAGCATGGGGGGTCGGCTCATCATCATGCACATGGGTGAGCTCCATGGACCACGACAGAGGCAGGCAGCCCGTGCGCCACCAGCACCTCTGGATGGTGCGCGCACCGACACTCATCCAAGCGTCGGAGAGCCACCCCAGCACGTCGCGCAGATTGGGGCGATAGCGGGCGACGGCGCTTGTGGCGCCGTCGTCGTTCCACAGTGCCGTGAAGGCCCGCAGCCAGTGCTGGCGGTAGCGGGCCTTCGCGGTCGCGATTATGCCCTGGTCGAGGGGCTGCGTGAAGGCGGTTGTGTTCGGCGGCAGGAAGATGAGGCGCACATTGCTGAGGCAGGTGGTCCTCATGCCGCAGACGATTTCGCTCCACGCGCACTCGTCCCGCATCATATGGGAGCTTGCATTGTCGAGCAGCACCGCGATGTGCCGCCCTTTGGCATACATCGCGGCATTGAGCTGCGATATAAAATGCGTGAACAACTGTGGGAGGGGATCGGGATGGAGGGAGGTAGAGAGGGGGGGGGGGGAAGAAACATTATGATAACACAATGTGGTAAGAACACAAGCACAAACAAAATCTCACGGTCGGCAAACACTTACCGGGCTCGTCATCCAGCCCTTAGCGTTGTGCCGCCAGTAGCAGACGGCTTCGGGGTCGTAGTCCGGCCGGAAGTCATGAGGACGGCGCGCCTTGCTGATGACTAACGGCCGGAAAACATGTCTCCCGTCGGCGTTAACGAGAAACGCCACGATCAGCCGGTCCTTTGAGACCTTGCGTCCAGGAATCCGCGCGTTGCTGTATGTTTTCCGAGGCAGCACAGAGAGCCACAGCGCGGTCTCGTCAAGATTGAAGGTGTCGCGCGGCTGGTAGCCGAGGTGAGTAAGAAGCTGCGGCACCTTCTCACGCGCTTCACGCACAGCAGCCATGTCGGCGCTCGCCGCCTCGCCGGTGGCGGCACGGCATCGCACTCCCTGGCGCCGCAACGCACGGCGCACCCAGCCAATGGAGCAACGGAACACGGGCGGAATGCCCATGTTGCGCGCCATGGTCGCCACGTGATTGCGGATCGTCTGCAGAGTGAGTGGTACGCCCGCGGGGCCAGCATTAGCGATCTAGCGCGCCATGGCCTGCTCAAGCTCAGGCCATGCGCCTCCTCGACGGCGCACTTGATTGGCGGCTGTGGGTTCGGTGAGCGCCCAACGATCGGCATTCTTCAGGATGCGGCCGACCGTGGAGCGGTCAGGTCGCAGGCCATACTGGGCGTAGACTCAGCGGGCGAGATCTACGTGACGCAGGAGGGGGTGCTCGACGTGATGCGCGCATAATGCGCGCTTGATGTGCAGCGGAAGCTGCTCACGGCGACCAAACCGCGGCATGGTGAGAGGTTGTGGGGGATGAGAACGATGCTTTGGTGAATATGTGCATCGGTTTTTAACTTTGGTTGGAGGACGAGGCTGATCGGTGATGGGGCCTGTTCGGTATGGGGGGTTTGATTCGTGTGGTGGTTGTTCGTTGCATGCACCCTGCTTACAATTTCGAACATGTGGTTGGGTTACCACAAGGGTGTAAATATGACGTGGGGTAGGCGAACAACGCCTGGTTGTTAATGGGCTTGTACCCCACAAGTGCGGAATGCACGTGGCAGCGTGCACCAGCCCAGATGTCTGTTACGCGCACCATGATCCTCGCCTAGGTGGCGGGGCAGGTGGGCGAATGCACTTACGAAACCACTTTCATTTCGTCCAGTCGTTTCGTCAGGTTGACTCCATGCCTAGAAACAAGGGAAACATGGGTCGGCACTGCTTGTTGTGGTCTGCACGTGGGGGGAAGGCCGGGCCGCGTGCACTGTAGTAAGCCATCTAGGTGCCTGTACCATGGGTGCAGCAAGCAGGGGTTTCGACCTCGGGGGCAGCGTGTCCATCCGGTGCATGGCAAATTCGCGTGCACTGGTCGGGCATCATGTGTATGGAGTGAAGTATATCACGCACATATCCTCACCCCTATGGCACACTAGCATTAGACGAGCAGAGCTTTTAGAGGTGTTTCGGTCGTGTGCATTTGTGGCTCGCGAATGGACCGAAAGTTGGCCCCCATAGGGTCTTCCAAGCCCTGTTCCGTAGTCATACGATACCAACTTCGGGTCTTCCTTAAGACCCGAAGTTCGATTAAATTTGGCATAAACCTTCGTGTCGTCAGAAAAGCGGAACTCAGTCACGAACCAAGTACACGGAAGGTCTCACTTGAAAATTTGCAGTCTACGATTTACAGCCGCCTAATGTTCAATGAATCGAAGCGCGCTCGGTTCGACAAGGTCACCACCTTCACACCGCCACACGCCTCACCAACCCACTTCCTCCCGCCGCTTGGGCAGGCCATGCAACCTCCGAAAACCCAACCAAAAACCACACAACGACGACGCGTGCGAGTTGCTCAACTACAGGCGAGCTGGTTAGTAGTTATTTCCGAGTTTTTTTCTGCCTGGCCCTTGGCTCAACTCTGCTCGGCACGGGCTAGGCCCACGAACGATATCTTATCACTATACACGCTCTCACTGCTACAGCCCAACACGCGCATACTATTTGCTCGAGCCGCAACAGACGAGCATTATGAAGAAGGGTCCAGCCCGTTTTCCGTGGGCTTGAATTGCACTCAAGATGCATGGAGGAACACGGATAGAGCAGCTGCTAGGCAGGCAGGATATTAGGTAGTGTTACTCGCCCAGGAACCTAGTAGGCACCATTTGCTATGAGAAGCAGATGTTCGGCCGCATAGAAAAACTGTTTTGGTAAGCAGTCTCTCAAGGTTTCGTAGCACCAGCTGCTAATAGCACGATGACGAGAAGAACGTTGCTCCGCGGATGCTTCCAGATCCTCCTAGCGCTAACCTCCCTAGCCGCGTATGGGGCAGGAGCACCGCTGGCAGCGGCAGCACGCGGCACAAGCAGGCGCCCCCCACCCCCCTACTTAAAGCCCCCTATTGAAGTCTTAGGGACCTGCGCGGATTCAGGTGACTAGGACTAGCGTAAACCATGCGCTGTGTGAATATATTGTTGTCGTTATCGTTATTGTTCTCGTTGTTGGAAGGAATTAATTAAACCTGCATCAATGTCAACATTTCTGGGTGGCTAATAGGACCCCATGTCGGTCCTTCAATGGTTCGGGTCGCGGCCAACCTGTGGGCAGTTGCCGACTCGTCTCACTACATCTTGTGTGATGCCTAATCGCAGGTGCGATCAACATGACAATCTCGCCGGTTTTCATCGGGACCACGTGGCGAGGGTGGGGCACTTCGCTCTCTTGGTTCGCGAACTACGTCGGCGGCTTGCCGAAAAAGCAGCTGAACGCTCTTCTCGACCTGATTTTCGAACCCACGAAGGGCCTTGGACTGAACATCGTACGATACAACATCGGAGGGGGGCATAATAAGAAATTCAGCCCGCAATTCTACAACAGTCTCGACGCGTTTTGGAGGGGCATGCCGGGTTTCAAGCCAACTAAGAACGGACCGTACAATTGGGGCGCGGATCAGCGGCAGCGGAATGTGCTGCTGGGAGCCAAGGCGAGGGGAGCGAATATCTTCGAGGCGTTTTCGAACAGCCCGCCGTGGTGGATGACGTATACAGGTGACGTGGCAGGTGCGCGTCGGAAAAAGCGGACGAATCTGCGGCGCGAGTACGAGCGCGCTTTCGCGGACTACCTGACGACGGTCGTTGCTGAGTATGCGAAACGTTGGGGGGTAACGTTTGATGCGCTCGAGCCTTTTAACGAAGCGTTAGAAGGTTTCTGGCTGGCCGGGAAGGAGCATGAAGGCTGCTCCTTCAAACCACCCGAAATGAGTCGTGTCATCAAATACACTTCAGACTCGCTTAAATCGAAGGGCCTCAAAACGAAGCTGGTTGGCGTGGATAGCTGGTACGGAGATACAGCGAACCTTCCTCAACTGCTCAACCACGAGCTATTAACGAGGATAAACGTTCACGGATACGTGAATAGGTACGAAGACGGGAGCGCGGCTTCATCTTACGAGCAAAAATTCGGCAGTATTCGCGACGTCGGAAAGATGCTTGGGAAGGAGATCTGGGTTAGCGAAGCGGGACCGTTGAGCAAAGTAGGAAGCTTCTGGGACCTCTCACTCTACATGGCTCGAAATGTCATCGAGAGCGTCAATATCATGGAGGCCTCGGTGTATTCCATCTGGCAGGCATACGATTTCTACGATCGCTGGTCGTTCATCCTCTTTCCGATGTACAGTCCGCCATACGAAGGCCGATTGGAAATGCCCAAGGTCAACAAGCGGTTCTGGCTATTCAAGCACTTTACGCTGCTGGCTAAGCCTGGGTCCAAGCCAATTAGGATAGGTTCGGACTGTCAGCACGGGATAAGCGCGTTCTACAACCCTCAGGAGGCGCAACTTACGGTGTTTATGGTGAATCAGGAGGCTGGGGACCGACGAGTGACTCTCAGTTTGGACGGATTCAAGACAAATGTGATGGGGAGCACCAGCGTGGTTATTAGGAGAACAACCGCCTTCACGAATTTTAGCAAAAAGGTGTTCGCGCGGTTCAAGGGGATTGCGCGGGTCACAATGTGGGGACAGACCTTCGTTTCTATCACATTCACCAATGTGGCATACTAGACCTTGTTTGGTGATTGTGAGGCTTGTTATGGCAGCACAACGTTGGGATTGGGTCATGATGTGCTGTTGCTCCTACCTACGCCTTGCTCCTGGGTATGATACTAGCATGATGCTCATCAAATTGTTTCTTGCAGTTAGGATGGGCTTAGATTGAATTGCAGACTTCTGACCAAATGTGCTTGTGCAATCACAAACAGTATGCATAAATAAAATATATAAAACAATTCCCAACATCTTATTTGAAGGCATGCAGACAAGCAGACTAGACCACCACCACCCACCCTCAAATCGGCACACGGCAGTGCGGCAGGGCCTGGAAAGTGTGTTGAGCCACGCCCAGCCCAAGCACATCCAGCCAGCTGCACCTTCAGTTCCTGCAGCCTCTGCGTACCCCCGACCCTGGACATACCAAGTCTCATGTCTTCCCTCGTCTTCTAAAGAGGAACCCACGGCCCTAGAAGGAGACGGAGTTGAAGTGAACTTCAGCTGTACAATTGGAGGGCAAACCCAGCGTCCTGGCCCCAAATCCCAAAACAAGCGGGAGTGTCAAAGCTGGAGGGGAATGTGTTGGTGTGGCGGCAGGTGGAGCAGCAAACTACAGGCTGATTGGCTGTACAGCAAGCACCGACCGCACCGCATGCCCGAATTGGTCCCTCCACGTCAGGCTGCCGTAACTGAAGTCCTGGGATGCTGTTGTAACATTGAATGTTACTGTAAATGTCTGTGTCTTGGCCGGCGAAATGGTGAATGTTGACGGGGAAACGGTGACGCGCACGTTAGCAGGCGCGACTACACTCGCGGTGTACGTACACGCCTGGTTGAACACATTCACCACCCACCGCGTCACCACCACGCTCTTGACCAATCGCGACACGGAGATGGCTGGACGGTTGAGATTGTACGCCGGGATCGGGGTCAGCTTCACCTTGGTTTGCGCGCCAATGAGATATTTCATCCGGGTCTGGTCCTGCCCGGCCAAAAAGTTGTAATAATGCGCGAGAGCCGCAGTGTAGGTAAGCCCAGGGTCTAGGAGCCCTGTGGAATTAATATGCCCTTGGCCCATCTCAAAAGGCGTGGCGACTGCCGTGTAACTCGTTCCGATCGGCGACCCCTGATTGGTCGTCGTGCTCGCGGTGGTCATAATCGCAGACATGATCTGTGCGGGGGACCACGTCGGGTAGCGTTGAGTCAGCAGCGCGGCGATCCCCGCCACGTGCGGGGTAGCCATGGAAGTCCCGGAAATCATGGCGAACTGTTGCGTGGTGGAGGAGGGTGAGGAGGCACGCCAAGACGACCAGAGGGAGACTCCGGGAGCGATGATGTCTGGCTTGAGAATGTCGTTGGTGGGCTGTGGCTTTACTACGGGTGCAGAGGGGTTGAGTGATGGGCCGGCAGAGGAGAAGTAGATGACGTTGGGTGCTGGTAGGTCGGTGACGGTTGAGAAGGATGTGGAGAGCGTGGCTGTTGGGCTGTTGATTGGATGGGTGGGGGGGGTGGGATTGAGGGCGGGAGAGTAGGGGGCAGTGGGGAAAGGGAGGAGGGAGGGGAGGGTTGGGAGGAGAGTCGCAGAGAGGAGAGAAAAAGGAGGGAAAGCTTTAGTGATCAGTACACTTGTGCTTTTACTTGGAATCGACTCTTGCAGGGATGACAGCTACTGTGTGTCTAAGTGGTGACGGGAAAGAAAGCAAAGAATTGGGGACGGACAGGGCAGAGCGGATAAAAGACGGAGAGACCAAATGCGTACGACCAACAAAACAAACTACGAACAAACAAAGATAACTAAAAAACAGTTGGAGGAACGTACGAGGTGGTGGATCTAATGTAGGTGATGAGCGTGTCAGCAGGAGAGTAGTCGAGATAAACCAAGGGCAGGCGCGAGTCGTAGGGCGGGAAGGGCTTGAGAACAGTAGGAACCCCCGTGATGATCACAGCCTTGCCTCCCCGTGCTAGCACCTCCCCCACCTTGACGCTCGTGCCCACGCTGCCATACGAGCAGACGACAATCCGGCCGCTGACCTTGGCCGAGTCAAGTGAACCGGAATAACAGTACTGGGCCTGGAGAGTGGGAAAGAAGAGGGTGGAAGAGGGAGGGACGAACAGACGACTATCCGGCCGCTGACCTTGGCCGAGTCGAGTGAATTGGCGTAACAATACTGGGCCTGGAGCGTGGAGGGATGGGGGGGAGAGTCGGGTAGGGGGGGATGGGTAGAGGGAGGGATGAGGGAGAGAGTGGAGAGGGAGGAACGGGAGAGGGAGATAGTATAGGGGAGGGAGGATTGGGGGATGGGAAGAAGGAAGGGAGGAAAGGAGGGAGGGTGGGAGAGAGAGGTGATACGATCAGAGGAGCGAGATGGAGCATGGGGAGGTATGGACAGGTGCAGAGGAGTGTAGAGTGTGGGATGCAGAGGAATGGAGAGGAGTGCAGAGAGGATCGGGAGAGACGAAAAGCCTCACCTGAGTGGACGTGGCCGAAGCAGCCATAGCAGAAATCCCCTCAATGACCCTCAACCCCAACCTCAACCTCACCACGCCTTTTGAGGTGCCTCAGAAGCCGCATCAAAACCGCCTCTCTACCCGCAAGAGCCTCACCTGAGTGGACGTGGCCGAAGCAGCCATAGCAGAAATCCCCTCGATGACCCTCAACCCCACGACGCTCGCACTCCCACTGCCAAACCCCGTGGCAGCGACCGTTACTCCGTTCCCCAGCAGGAGGGAGGTGCTGTAGCGGCGCGAGATGGTGGAGGCGCCAACGGTGAGGTAGAACGGCGAGAAGTTGGAGATGGTGCGATACATGGTTGAGCTGTATGGAGGGGATCCGTCGTTGCCCGACGCGTATGCGACCGTTACTCCCATCTGTTGAATAAACAGGGTGGGGAGGAACAAGGGGAACGGGTAGAAAGAAGGGGGCGAGAAGTTGGAGATGGTGCGATACATGGTTGAGCTGTAGGGCGGCGATCCGTCGTTGCCTGATACGTACGCGATTGTCACTCCCATCTGTTGGACCAATAGGGCAGGGAGGAAAGTGGCGCAAAAGGGAAAAACGGGGGGATAAGGGGAGCGGGAACGGAAGTGGAAACGGGGGCACAAGCTTGTGAGCTGAAAGCCGAAAGCTGTAGCCCCAAATACTGGTCAGAGCCGGTTGGAACCGGCCAGAACTGGTCAGAACCACCAGGTGCTCATTGCAGGACTGACACAGCAGTGCTCACGCGCGCGTGCGCATGCGCATGTGCATGCGCGTGCGGGCGTGGGCGTGGGCGTGGGCGTGGGCGTGGGCGTGGGCGTGGGCGTGGGCGTGGGCATACCGCATTGGCATAGAGGTAAGAGGAGTCGTCAAAGTAATCCGCGGAGGGATCCAGGCCGCCCAGCGACAGGCTGAGCACATCCACGCCGTCCGCCACAGCCTTGTTCACGGCGGCCTCGATGTCGGCCCACGTGGCACTTACGCCGCCACTGCTCGTGCTCCAGAAGACCTTGTACACGCTGAGGAAGGCGCGCGGGGCTACGCCGCTCGCGAGCCCTGCGGATTGCCCGCGCGCAATTGCTACCTGCACGTTGCTGTTGCCGGTCGCAGCTCTGAGGGAGAGGGAGAGAAGGGGGGGAATGAGTGGAGATGAGTGGGGAAGAGCGTAGGGTATTGCTCGTGGTCGCTTCCTGCAAGTTTTCGTTGCTACAGCCTTGTTCACAGCAGCCTCGATGTCGGCCCACGTGGCGCTCACGCCGCCGCTGGTCGTGCTCCAGAAGACCTTGTACACGCTGAGGAAGGCGCGCGGTGCGACCTCACTCGCGAGCCCTGGGGATAGCCCGCGCGCGATCGCCACCTGCACGTTGCTGTTGCCCGTCGCGGCTCTGAGATGGGGAGGGGAGGTGTGGGGGGGAGAGTGAGCGGGGGTGAGTGGGGGAGAAGTAGTGGGAGGGCTGTCCTCGTGCGATCGCCACCTGTACGTTGCTGTTGTTGGTCGCGGCTCTGAAATGGACGAGCGAAACGGGGTGGGTGGGATCGGGGGCAGAGGGGGGGATGAGTGAGGGGAAATGAGTGTGGATGTCAAGAGTGGGGGATGGAAGGGAAGGCGGGGGGGGGGGGGGAGGGACGAAAGGGGGTGGGTGGGAGATGAGGATGGGAGGTGAAGCGATAGGAGGAAAATCGAGATGGAGAAGCAGGACGGGTCGATTCTGATTGTTGTTGCCCGCAGCGGCTCTGGACGGGGATGACGGTGGCATAGGCACGTGAAAGAAGAGTGTTTTTGAGACGTGTCAAAAACACTCTTCTTTCACGTGGCTCTGGACGGGGATGACGGTGGCATTGGAGGGCGAGGCGAGGAAGCGGCATAGATTTCTTGCTTACCCCGCGCACCACGTGCCGTGGCCGTCCGCGTCGCGGGCCGAGTTCCAATCCGCGGCGAGGTTGACGCTGCCGTACGCGGCGCGGAAGCCCGCGGAGAAGAAGCGCGCGCCGATGAGCTTGCGGGTGCAGCTGGGGAAGTCCGCGGTGGTCGTGCAGTTGCCCTTCCACGTGGCGGGCGGGTTAGGGTACGACGCCTGGGGAGACAGCGGGGGAAGTCGGGGGGGGGGGGGGGAAGGGGGGATGGGCGGGGGAAGAACATTCGGGGGAGTCCGCCGTGGTCGTGCAGTTGCCCTTCCACGTGGCGGGCGGGTTCGGGTACGACGCCTGGTGATGACCCGCGGAAAGGGGAGGCAGCGGGGGGAAGAGACAGGAGGGGGGTGGTTGGGGGAAGACGGAGAGGAGAATGGGCTTTTCGGGGAGGCGGGGGGAAAGGGGGCTGGAGAAAGACGAGAAATGCGGCGGTTATTATGTTGGTCGGCCGGAACACGACTACTTAGCTATCCAGAGCTAACTACGATACTATTCCCTTAGTAAGCGCCCGCGAATGGTGACCTCTCGCGGCGAGAGTCTCGCACTTGAACGATTACAATGACTGACGTCTCCCCTCGGACTTACATCTCCGGCGAACGAGGGGTGCTCTGGCCAGACCCCCGTATCAATGACCCCCACCACCACGCCTTGCCCCGCGCTGCTCTGCCCGCCCGCCGCCGCCCAGAGCGTGTTCGGAAGCTGCAGGAACGTTGGCGTGTCCGTTGTGAGCTTGCGAATCGCGATGCTCTGCTTCACCTGCGCCACGGCCGGGTGGTTCCGCAATTGCCGGACTTGCTTCGCCGTGAGTCGCGCCGCGAATCCGTTGCTCACGTATTTGTAGCTGTAGAGCACGTCTCGCGTGCTCACGCCCGCGTCGGCCGCGACGCGAGCCTGCATCTGCCCCAGCCACCGCGCGAATTGCTGCACGGGCCGGCTGAACGGGTCGAAGCGGAAGCGGCGGCGGCCCGCGAGCGTCGCGGCGGCACCCGCGCGGAAGGACTGCGCGATGCGCTGCCCGTTGACGGTCGCCGCCAGCCCGTCGATTCCGCCGGTGTACCCCGCGACGGGCGGGGAGTTGCGCATCCGCACGATATAGACCGGAAGGCGCTCCGCCAGGCCGGCCTTATTGACTGCGTGACACGGGGAGGGGACAAAGCGGGGGAGGCGGGGGAAGGGAGAGCAAAAAACGAGGATGTGAATAACCAGGACCGGCGCTTGGACGACTCGGAGACGCAGTCGTTGACGGTCGACGGTGGCTGGCCAACGGTCGATCTTGACGGTCGACCGTCGACGCTTGACGGTCAGCAGTCAAGGACGGACCCCTCGCCGGGCCAATGGGCGACTCGCGGAGATTACATCATCAAGATATTTCTACTATTGCGGACGGCGAGTTTAGAAACGTTTCAACAATGTGTAACGCCTCAACACCCCGCAGCGTGACACCCCGCCGTATAGCCCTCTTGTGATTTTTTAGTCGACTCAAGAATCCGATCCTTGCGTCACTGCATAAGCAGTACTATAACTCGTTCTCACCTTCGTCAAAAAGGGTGTCCTCTTGGGCGAGCGCCATGCATAGGAAGGACGCGGCGAGTATGAGTACCGCGCAGGTCGTTTGTTGATCTCGCCGCTGGGCTCGTCTCGGCGCCATTGCGTCGACGCGACGACGGGTAGGAACGGAAATGACGGCGAGAAAGTCGCCGGCGGTTTGGGTTCGAAACTCTGGATTGGGATGGAGAGGGAGTCGACTGCAGGCAGCAGCGTCGGGAGTCGTGCAGGAACCGAGAAGAACGAAATGAGAGCCGAAGAAAACGCGCGAAAGTCGAGCGAGAGGAGCTGTGATGGTTCTTTTGCTAGCGAGGATACATCAGCAATTGTCGCGATTTGTAGGTCTCAGGCTTCTTCTATGGTTCGTCGTAGAGGGATTTGGGAATCTTGAAATGGCGAGGGGCGGCGTATCCAGGAGACAAGAACTCAGGAGGTCAGGTCAGGTTTGCTTCAGGTGGTGCCAGTGGCGTGGATGGCAGGGGGCTGTGGTGGGGTCGGATTCGCAGGTGTATGTGTGGTGGTGGGAAACGGCTGGGCTTGAAAATGAAGAAATCCTGCGAGGTTGCATCATGGCTGTGTGACATGTGTGTGTGCTTGCTTGCAGGTCGTCCTGTCGTCTTGCTGTCATGTGTGGGGCAAGTGGCAGGCAGGGAGCAACGTGGAGCGGAACAGAGATGAAATGAAACTGTTTGGTCGGCGATGATGCAGCACAGTAGATGAACCGCGCGATCGCATCGCATCGCAACGCAACGCAACATGTCGTTTCGTGTTCATTCGAGGCGGTGGGTGTTGGGTGGAGGGGGGGGAGCGGGTGAAGTGTCCTGGAGCAGCGGAAGGAAAATGGTGTCGTGTCGTGTGACGTGACGTGTCGTCCGTTCGTCGTGCCTTTCCCTTGCTTCCCTTGTCTCGCCCCTCTGCTGCTCTTCAAGGCAGGAATTTCGTAGACTTCGGGAAGGTGTCATCTCGTACAACGTGTCTCCATTGAAAGCTGTGCCAGATTGCATCCATCTCAGGACGCGTCCCCTCCCTCGATCGATCCTGCCCTCGATCGATCTAGGGACAGGTTCAATGTCGCAATTGACAGGGTAACCAGACTTCGAGAAGGCTTGCGAATGTACAGTATTTTGGCGCTCAGCGATCTTGTCACCTCCCCTGATGACGATCGATGTGCCTTCCTGGCCACACCGATCTCGGCTTTTGTATGATCGACAGTTTTCCCCCCTAAATTTTTCGACCCTGTCACCAAGGGCTCGCGATCGATCCGCGACTGTCACCTCCTACCAATCCCGCCCCAATCCTGCGATCGGTGTGCCCGATCGGTTTTCTGCAGCGATCTCGCGATCGATCGAGGGAGGGGACGCGTCCTCAATTGCCAGTCTGCCAGAGGGGCCGAGTCAGAAGAAGAGAGCCTAGAGCCCATCATGCCCTGCGTTTGAGAGTTCTCCCATCCCCAGTTTCGCAAACACTGTACACTCTGTTACTCCCCGTAGTGAAACTCACCATACTGAATTCCCCGTTACTAGAAACTCACCCCGTCCAGAAGTGTGCAATCACCCCGTTATAGCGAACTTTTTTAACCAGCACGATCTAGTGTGGTGGGTTACGTTTTAGAAAGGTGACTGGACATTTTAGAATGGCTGGCTAGGGTATCAAAGAAAGAAACATTCTGAGAACATCCCCGCCGGCACCCGCCTGCTCGGGAAGGTTGACTAGTTTCGGAAGTGGCAAAATTTCGAATACAGGGAAGAAACAGTAGTTTATTTACACTGTTCAGTGTAGCGAGCAACAGGGTGTACGTCTCTCTCCATTCCGTCGTCTTACCCATTTCGAGCTTCCTACTTTTGCAATGGTCAAGAAAACTCCCAAGAAATATATAACAAACCCCGACTCTGGGTCGATGCAGGTCATATGAAGGGTTGTGTTGTGGGTCGTTGTTGGGAAAATGAGCGCCATGGTGTAGTTGGAGAAAATAAAGGGGTGAAATGCACCAGCAAATTCGTACAATAACTCTACCAATGGGAACTGGCACATTGGCCTTGCGAATATCAGATTGTTCCACGAGCCCCATTGTCATCCTAAGACGCGGACCACGTTCAAACAATACAGCAAATGCCTTTTACAATCCAAACAGCTCAAAGTCTTCTCCAGCTTTCATCCACGTGCGGAAAGGGAACATAAGCTAAGCATTCATGTAACAGCTCAAAACTGATATACAGAGTTGGGTGGCTGTGATTATTTTACAACAATGCAATTGAAATCAATAAAAAGGGTACGTAGGATCGTTTTTTATTTTCGTTTTGCTAGTCTTGTTGCTGAGTCTGAGTCTGTCTGTCCTCCGTCCGTCGAGGGTGAGTGTGCTCTTAGCACGGACGTCCTTGAGGACAGGCAGGAGGACCTTGAGTGTCTTGCAGCCGCTGCGCCTCATCTTGTGGCCATGCTGCTTGCCCCTGAGGGAGACACGGATGCACCAGACATCCCAACCCCGCGCTCTTACGCTGAGGCGATTGCGGGTCCCTACTCCTCTCAGTGGCAGACAGCCATGGACGCAGAGATGGCATCCTGGAAGTCCACAGGCACTTACGTCGATGAGGTTCCCCCTCCTGGGGCGAACATCGTCAGTGGCATGTGGATTTTCAGGGTGAAGCGGCCGCCGGGTTCTCCGCCTGTCTTCGAGGCTCGTCAGCGAGGCTTCAGTCAGCGACAGGGAGTTGACTTCTTCCAAACCTTCTCCCCCACCCCGAAGATGACCACTCTTCGAGTGCTGCTGCATGTTGCCGCTCAGCGTGACTACGAGCTTTACTCTCTTGACTTCAGCATAACCTTCTTACAAGGCAGCATGCACGAGGAGATCTGGCTGCGCCGCCCACCTAGCTTCACTGGGTCGTTTCCTCCTGGTACCCAGTCGAGCCTCCGGCGGCCAGTCTACGGTCTCCGCCAGGCGCCTCGTGAGTGGCACGACACACTGAGGACGACACTTGCGGCTCTTGGGTTTGCTCCTTCGACAGCTGACCCGTCGCAATTTCTGCGCACCGACACTTCCCTGCCGCCGTTCTACATCCTTGTGTACGTCGACGATTTGGTCTTTGCCACTGCTGACACTGAGGCACTCGCACTTGTGAAGTCCGAGCTGTAGAAGAGACACACGTGCACAGACCTGGGTGAGCTGCGCAGCTACCTTGGCTTGCAGATCACCCGGGACAGAGCACGGTGCACCATCACCCTGACTTAGTCACACATGGTGCAGCAGGTCCTTCAGCGCTTCGGCTTCACTTGGTCCTCGCCACAGTCCACTCCTATGGCTACCGGTCACCCGCTCTCAGCTCTGCCTTCGGATGAGTCCGTAGAGCCGAGTGGCCCGTATCCGCAGCTTGTAGGCTGCCTCATGTACCTGATGACCTGCACTCGACCTGACCTTGCCTACCCTCGTAGCATCCTGGTTCGCTACGTTGCGCCAGGGAGACACCAGGAAAGCACTGGGAGGCTGCTAAGAAGGTGTTGCGCTACTTGTGCAGTACATCGGGCATGGGGCTTGTGCTTGGAGAACGGAATGAGGTTGTCCTCATTAGACACTCAAACGTGTCTTGGGTTGACGACCTGGCTACGCAGCGGTCGTCACAGGGTTACACTTTCAGCCTTGGCTCCGGCTCTGTTTCTTGGCAGTCTACCCGCTCGTCTTCTGTTCTCAGCTCTAGTTGTGAGGCTGAGATCTACGCCACAGCCATGGCTGCACAGGAGTGATGCTGGCTTACCTACCTGCTGATTGATTTGGGAGAGAGGCCTCCAGTTCTGTACGCCGACAACAAGGCCTCCATTGCCTTGTATCAGGAGCACGGACTGGAGCACAGAACGAAGCACATCGCTCTGCGTTACTTCCTTGCTCGAGAGTTGCAGCAGCGTGGTCAGCTTCGTCTTGCTCACGTGGCCACTCGGGCCAACACTGCTGATATATTCACCAAGGCACTTCCGTCTGGTGATCATCAGCGCTTCTGTACTATGTTAGGCCTTGTGCCTGTTTCGTCTCACTTGCTCACTTCGTGTTTTTGCTTGTACTATATATGTATATGTATATATATACCTGCATGCTTGTTCTTGCTAGGTAGTGATCACTGTACTGTTGTTGTTGCATATATGCCTCTGCATGTGAACTGGCCTTGTGGCCCCTTGCTTACGCTCAGAGTGTGTTGTGACGTTGTGATCCACCCTGAGCTTGCTTTGCCTTTCTTGACTGGTCTTGTGACCCCTTGTTCTCCCCACTTTGCCTATGGGGGTGTGTCAAACTATATTTGTGCTAGTTGTGTGTAGGCTATAGTGGGGTAGCCCATATGGGGTACAACCCAATGTTAGGATTAGTACTTGTACCCTCAATCCATTCAATGCAATCATTCCTGCTTGCCATCTTGACAGGGTGGGCCGTCGACCAGGACTTTCAGTTCGACGGTGAGGTCGACGGAGTAGTTCGCCGACCTGATATCTGAGCAACGGTCAACAAGGGGTGCTCGGCGACATCAGCAAAGGGTTCTGGTCGACGGAAGGGGTCCGTCGACCATGGGGCAGTTCGACAGGAGCTCTGGTCGATCAGAGGCACCTGGTGGTCGACTAGAGGTACCTGGTGGTCGACCGGGGGACCTGGTGGTCGACGAGAGCTTGTGGTGGTCGATCGGAGACACCTGGTGGTCGACCAGAGCGCCTGTGGTCGACCGGAGCCCTGTTGGTCGACTAGAGGCGCCTGATGGTCGACCAGATGCTCTGGGTGGTCGACCAGAGTGGCTGGTGGTGTCCAGGTCGACCAGGTAACCTGCTCGGCGAGTTCTGCGGGAGCATGCGAACGTCGTCGAGGTCGCGATGACGAAGGCGACTTCGGGCTGGTATCCCGAAGTCGATATTGCCTGTCAGGCGCAGACAACAGCCGACGGATGCACAGCAATGCAAGTCGGGCCAATCGTCTGCTCGCAACTGCGAGCGTGCGCAGTGCTGTCTTCTACGGGGCAACGATGGACAGCCGCATTGATGCAGCGTTGGCACGACGTCGACCTGTGGTGTTGGAAGGTCGCCCTTTTGCAGTGCTGGCGCGGCTCCTCTACGCAATGCTGGCAGACGGTCGACCGAGCTGTGTTGGCGGTCGACCAGGCTAGCTGCAGGGTTGCTAGGTGCCTGTTGTAGTCATTGCTTGTTCTATCATTCTGTAATTCCAACCTTGCTAGTGAAACTCCCGTGAATGTGTAAGCCCTAAAGAACGCAAGCAAAGCTATGATCACTCCTAGTAATTCGTGCCAACCCCCGTGGTCTATACCACTACCGTTGTAGAGTGACACTCCGCAGGGTTTAGCTAGGAGTGTCGAAATGGAGAATGGAAAGGTAAATGGGCAAAGAGAGTTTTGACTATGGAATGGTTACAAGGAATAGGAATGGGCAAAGAGGAGGGTACACCACCAACAGTTGACGCTAATAACTAAACTAATACAATAGCAAGCTGTAGGCAGTTCTAAGGTATGCAATATAATTCAACAGGTTTATTTCTTCATTCCTGAGTAAGAACAAGCCCATTGCGTATCCGTAGATTTTTTTTTTTTCTAAAAAAAAAAATCACTCCTAAAAGAAGGATGCAAAGCCAAACCTGCCTTATAATCGGTGTCATATCATAAGGGTAATTTTTGTTGTTAGTCAAAGGCCTGGTCCCGCCTTACTATTTTCGACGGACATTCATTTCACAACCTTTGGTACTTGATGCTGGACCAATTTCTGGCAGTTTTTCAACATGTTTTCCTTATGAGGGGAATAAATGTTATTTGAAAGGCGATTTTGAAGTCTTTAATTTGGGTTTGTTTGTTCTAAATTCAAGTGTAAGGAGGTCAGCAAATTGTGTATTTTTGTTGTTATATTTGTAGTAATAGGGTTCCTTCGTTTTCGTCTTTTCGTCATGTCGGCACGATGGGACAAACCGGGGAGAGGGGACAGCCTCCACTCTCCATACCGCGTCTTGGTTGAGAAAGCACGAAACGGTGACGTGGACTATCTGGCCGTCGAGGGTGACGAGGTTTCGTCACCACTTTCTGGAGGGTGTATCCAGGGTGTCGCTGAACGGTGCGGGACTGTCGCCAACAAGCTCTACCTCCCAACGATATGTGTGGCGAAGAACGTGACAATATCGACTCGCTGACGAGTCGCAACTATTGTTGACCATTCTCGGAATGCTATCGAGCTACTTCCTCTTTTCCTGCCATACATTGTTTTCGAATGAATTTCCGGGTCTAGTGAATCAAACGTTCCTTGGCGACCAGAACGAAGGAACGCTGGGAGTGCACTTGCGCCTCACCCATCGCATACTGGAATCGACTACATAACTTTTAGCAGTGGGGTAGCTGCGTCCAGGAAACCTGACCGAAGCAGAAGTCTACCGCAATGACCGTCTCCTGGACCCAACCACATTTCTCCGCAAGCTTCATCGTGTCTCGAGTCGCGACTCGCAACTCCCCACAGAAATTCGGCTGCAGCTGCTTCATCACCGCACCAGTGACGCCGCCACCACACGGTGCGGTTCGCTTGCCTAGAACCCAATCAACCCAACCCAAACCGACCAAAGCCCATCCAACCCAACCCAAACCACCACACCCACCATGACCATTCCTCCAGGTATCTTCACTATGCAGGAGTAGTACACGTACCCCAGACCCCCCCTCAACTAACTACCTTTCTCCCTTCACAGCTTGAGCCGTCGGGCCGCCTAATGGGGGCCGTTTGGACGTACATTGCCGCCGCTGCAGCAAGTATTCTGTAATTGTTTGTCTCGCCAGGCCTACGGTAGGCCATTGAAAACTAGCACCTTGCGAAGAAGCCGCCGACCAGCCTGTCTAGTTTGCGCCTGTAGCCCAAGCATCCAAGTAGCAGATAAGCCGTCCACCTATCACGCCAACCCCCCCAATCGCCCTTCCTCGATCGCATCTACCTGCTATTGCGGCACCTTGTCGTACCGACGAACTCACTAAGTTATATAGTACCTTCCGTCTTAAAAAAAACCTCACTGACAGAGCCACATTTCCATAGACCAGTTTGGACTATCTCAGTCCAAAGATTCCACCGCAAAACATACTTACTGCACACTCGGATTATCTACACATCTCTTTTAACAGTCCAGCAGGCAGAGCCCTCTACGCCGAGACGACCAGCAGTCAATCTCGATTCTCGAAGCTCTCGAGGCCACACCCGAGTCACCCGAGGCGCTGTAGTCATCTCAAAGCCCTCCGTCACACCGCGTCGCCCGTCATCTCAGTCCACAGATGGCCAGCCAACAACGTCTCCTCCAGCGCCCTCCACGGCGTCCCTCCCGGCGAATCGTATTGCAGATCGTGCTGCACATGCTACTTATCTCCGGCCTCCTCAGCTTCTCCTCCGCGTTTCAACTTCCTTTGCGACGTGCGTACTACTATAATACCAGCTGGCGTCTCCAACTTCTCAACTTTCAAAGCCCTTCCTCCTCTCCAACCTCGCCTTCTTTTCCCTCCTTCGCATCTCTCAATCCACACGAGTCTACCCCTCATTTCCTTCTGTTTGGCCTCAAAGCCTCTGTCCTTTCATCTCTGACGCTCTCTCGCTCCGTCTTTTCCTCTTCGCCCGCCTTCTGTTTCGCCCATCGCTCTTCCTCTCTCCCTCCTGCGTCGGAGCCCCTCTCCCCCCGGCGCTTCAACTCCATCCGCCATTCTCCCCTCTCTTCCCCCTCTCCGCCTCACCCCTCTCCCCTCTCCCCCTCACCCCTTCATCCTCTCCCATCTCGCCCCGCCAACAGTACCGCGCGCCAAGCCTCCCGCCTCGTCCCCTCTCTACATCGTCCGCCTCCGATCCGCGCCCGTAGCCGCGCAAACTCTCGGCATCCACGGCGTTTCCTTCTATGGCTCTTCTCCCGACGTCGCTCAACCCGCGGAAGCCGCCACTTCCGTCGGCGCAGCCACGGAGGCACAGATCACGGCGGCCGCGGAATCGCTTGGCGGCTGGTTGCGGCGGCCGCGGCGGTTCGACGCGCAGTCGAATGTAGTGCGGACGCTGGTGCGGTGGCTCGGGCAACAACAGGAGCAGGTTGCTCGTGACGTCAGCTTGCCTGCTTCCGCCGTAGCGCACAGGTGGGTGTGGCGTGTTACTCTGTGCAGTTCTCGAAAGTGATTAAAAAGTTCCTCGTCTGTGCGAACGTTCGCCTTACAAAAGTCGTCTGCGCAAACGCTCTTTCACCAAATCAAACCGGTTTTCCTCTCCTCGCTACCCCCCTCCCTTCCCTTCTTCCCCCTTCCCCCACCCCCATGACAACGGTTGTTCCTACCAGCTACCGCTACGTTACCAACGGGTTCGCCGCGACACTCACAGCCGACCAGGTCCGCCGGTTGCGCAACCATCCGTCAGTTCTGTCGGTCCGGCCGAGCCAGCGCGTGTACAAGGCGACGACCGACACGCCCACGTTCCTGCGCCTGCCGGGCTCGCTGTGGGCGGCGGCGGGCGGGCAGAGCAGCGCGGGGGAGGGCGTGGTGGTGGGGGTCGTGGATACGGGCATCTGGCCTGATCACCCCTCGTTCGCTGATGATGTGAGTGCGATAACACCTGATTACCCACTCCAACGATTGCAATACCGCCTTGTACCGCATTCTACCCTACGTCCATCGCGTCGTCCCCCTACTCTTCCGCCCCCTGCTTTTGGCTTCTCCTTGTCCCTCATTTCCCCACCTGTCCCCTCTTCCCCCGTCCGTTCTTCCCCGCTCTCTTCTTTCCCCTTCTCTTCCGCGTTTCTCTCCTTCCCCAGGGCACGTACTCCGCTCCGCCCGCCACGTGGCGCGGAACCTGTCAGACCTCCAAGGACTTCCCCCACTGCAACCGCAAGCTCATCGGCGCGCGCTACTTCGTCTCCGGCTTCCGCCAGGCGTACGGTCGCGAGAGCCTCTCCGCGGACTGGCTCTCCGCGCGCGACGCCGACGGCCATGGCACGTGGTGCGCCAGCGCCGCCGCCGGGAACGCCAACGTGAGCGTCGCGCTCGCGCGCGGGCAGACCACGGGGCTCGCGAGCGGAATGGCTCCGCGCGCGCGCGTCGCGATGTACAAGGTGTTCTGGTCCAATTACAACTCGGGCGGCGTGACCGCCACGTGGGCGGACATCGAGGCCGCCGTGAATCGCGCCGTGGCGGACGGCGTGGATGTGCTCAGCCTGTCGCTGGGCGGCCTGGATCCCTCCGCGGATTACTTTGACGACTTGCCCTACTTCTATGCCAACGCCGTAAGCTACGGCTCTCACTTGCTTTCATGGCTCTCTCATCTCGTACCACTTGATTTCTTTCTGTCTTTACCCTGCCTTTCATGGCCCTCTCATCTTCTGTGAACGAAGGGATACCACAGTACCGCTTTTCCCTTCCCTCCCCTTCCTCCCCTCCCTCCACTTCCCAACCCCACCATCACTCACTCGCCTCTCCCCTCCTCCCCGCCGTCCCCTCCTTTTCCCTCCTCCCAGGCGGGCACAGTGGTGGTGTATGCAGCGGGCAACGAGGGCCCACCGCCCTACAGCGCATCCATCTACCGGCCTTCCCCCCTTTTCCAAACCCACCATCACTCACGCTCCCCGCCCATCCCCCCTCTTCCCCCCTCCCCTCCCAGGCGGGCACAGTGGTGGTGTACGCAGCGGGCAACGAGGGCCCACCGCCCTACAGCGCATCAATGTACCGAACCATCTCCAACTTCTCGCCCTTCTACCTCACCGTTGGCGCCTCCACCATCTCTCGCCGCTACCTCACCAACCTCACTCTCGCCGACGGGACAGTCCTGACGCTGGAGGGGTTAGGAGGCGGGAGCGTGAACACCCAGAACGTGGGCCTAGCGGACTCCATACTCGCTAAGAGCTCCTCCGTTACAAACTTCAAGGCGCTGTACTGTTACGGCGGGTCGCTAGACTCTACTAAAGTCTCGGGCCGGATTCTACTGTGTCAGTACGGTGGGGGGGCACCTCTGGAAACGAAAATCAGAGAAGCAGTAGCACGGGGTGCCAGAGCACTGCTGATCACCAACATACCTGACTCTGCAAGATACTACCTGCCATATGATTCCCGCCTTCCCATGATGTATGCCGATGCTGCTGCAGCCACCACCATTCGAACCTTCATCAGGTCCCAGACCACCCCTACAGCCAGCCTCGCCGTCTCCTACGTTACAGATCCTGCCGCTGCTGTAGCTCCGGTTACCGCATCATTCTCCTCTACAGGCCCGGTGGCCAATCCCGACGTGGCGGTCGGTGCACCCTACCCGACCAACGACATTCTCAAGCCGGACGTGATTGCTCCGGGAGTCTCTCTCTGGGGCGCATGGCGCGGCTCGACACTCGCCACGAAAACAACTGCTCGCTTCAACATGATTTCCGGGACGTCCATGGCTACACCACACGTTGCCGGGATTGCTGCGCTGCTCATCCAACGCAACCCCACGTGGACGGTGCCGCAGGTCATGTCTGCAATCATGACCACCGCCAGCACGACCAACAACCTCGGGAATCCCATCAGCACTTCCTCTGGAACGCCCGCCTCTCCCTTTGACATGGGCCAGGGGCATGTGAATCCCGAGAGGCTACTCGACCCGGGGTTGACGTACCCTGCTGCCCCTGCCCATTACTTGAATTTTCTCGCCGGGCAGAATATGACGAGGACGCGGCAACTTGTCTCAAGCAACACACCCCTGAATGCTATCCCTGCATACAATCTCAACCGGCCACAGATCTCGGTTTCGCGGCTACGAGGCGTTGTGAATGTGACGCGGTGGGTGGTGAACATGGCTACCGTTGCCTCTAATTACACGGGAGAGGTGGTGCCTCCTTTTGGCGCGAGTGTGACGCTTTACCCGCCCTCGTTTACGATAGAGCCTGGGAAGATTCAGGTGTTCACGATTGAGTTGAAGGCCTCAGGCGTGTATGCGGGCTTCTCGTTTGGTAGCTTGACGTGGAGGGATGAGCTCGGGCATTCAGTGCGCTCTGTGATTGCTGTGCAACCCATATCCATGTAGCCTGCTTTGTACGAAGGGGGAGGCATTGTACTCCATTCCCGTTCATATACGCCACGTTTGAGCTAGGGTGCTCACAGGATTCGATTCTATACTTGCGTATGACAGCATGTGGCAACATATCATGTATCAGATGACCTGTTTAACTCATTTCCTACTCCTCAAGTTCCTCGACCAGAAATATAGGTTAAAGGGGTGCCTGTTGAATTGAAACTTTACGGTATGTTGAAACACAGGGCATTCCCCGTGACTAGTCCTAGAATGTGCAATACCGTATTAGTGATGTCAACTTGAGGTTGAACGCACAACAGAAGGCAAGGCATGCCCTTGCCTAATCCTAGAATGTGCATGTGCTTGATTTCACAAGTTGTTTGATTAGGCTGGTCGAAACAAATGTGTAGGTTGATTTTTGTAACGGAATTGCGTTGTATCGGAAATCTGTCATTCTCTCCTGAGTTTGTTTGTGCAATCGAGAGGCGGCTTGTCGAGATTGGTAGGGGCAGGTGGTTACGGAAACAGTCATGCAGGTGTTGATGTGGATGCGCCTTTCTCAAAACTACGGGCAGATTTGGAAAGCGAAGTTTGTTTTCGCTGGCATCATCCTTTATGTTCTGCCTTTTCAACACAACTTTCATTTCCTTAGGGTTAGCCTTCAGACCAGGGTGGAATACAATTCGTATGAGTTGCTATTTGTTAAAACTCCTGAGGAAGTTGCCTGACACAAATACTTCGAAAGGCTAGCCGCATTGGTAAACGCTGCAACATGTGAGGTGTGATTTTCTGGAATTTTGCGAGGAGAGCGACAGTAGAGCCTTTCCGTTGTGTAATCACCGTTTTTACTGTTCCCAGGCAGTCTCTTGTCACCTACAGTCATTACTGTTATACCGCGCCAACAACCTGTTTGTGCTCAAACTCCTTTCAACCCTTGTGTCGGCGAAATGTTTAAATTTCTCCACTAGTTACTGATCTTTTTGCTTGCGCGATTATTCACAGCTTGATTGCCACCTCCTGCTTTCGCTTCGAACTGTTTGCAGCAACCACCTCCATTCCGTCCGGCTTTCAAGAATTTTGAAACTTTTTGTCAATCATACAGTCTAGTAGTTGGACATACCCAATAAATGGGTACGGGTAGCCCTCTATCAGCACGTCTCAGATAGCTTGGTTTGTTGTGAAGGACCACGACTAGAAACACCCTCTATTTAAAAAAAAGTATGAACACTAGAACCTGGTTTCCTGCCCCAGTCAAATAGCTCACAGCAATCCAAGCAATACAGCAGCACAAGCTGGACGGAGCTTTTGTGACGAGTTCCATCGGTCCTTTGGCCCACGACAGACCTGATCTTGCAGTGTACACTTCCCCAGAGAGCCCATAGATTCCTCCAGCCAACCTCCTCCACCCCTCCCTCAGCTGAGGGATGTCTGTCAGCCTTAGCCAGCCAACAACCTCCCAACCCAACCACAGCGTGTACTGTATTCCTCCCCACGAGCCGCGGCCTGGTAATTTCTTTGCTGAAGCTTCTCCTAGGCTGTTTCCTTTGCTCCCCCGCTTGCACCTAGCTGCAGAGGCGACCTCCCCTGACCATCATCTTCTCCTACATCCGTAAATCAGAGTCGGCGAATTCATTAGCGCACCACGAAGCGCTTCACACGGCAATATTATCACACACAACCACTCCCATTGCATGGTTACTGCAGAAATAACCTCATCTGTTGGAAAATAAAGTTCCCGTAAGGAAGCTTAGGCTACTGGTACATGCGACTCGGACATGGCTACCCTTACCACGCGCCCGCTCGCGCTTGCGCTTCTAGCGCTCTTCGTCTCAGCAGCAACGCTCGCCGCCGCACAGACTGGTACGCTCACAGAGGGACGTTCAAAACATTTTTGCCAGTCGCCATTCTTCCGCCCGATTCGGCCAAACTAGGTCCTCTCGCGCGGTTCAATCGTTTGCTTCACATTCATCGCTCCCTTCCTCCGCGCGCCTCGCTGCCCTATCAGCGGCCTCTCCGACCTCGTGTCCCCCCCCCCCACCATCTCCCCCCCTCCTCTCCCTCCACTTCCGCCGCTGGGAAGCCCGAACGACTTTCTTGCTGGGCTCGCACGACCATTTGCGCCGCTTTAAGTCACTAGCGGTTGGACTATTTACGAAAAACGAGTATTCTCTTATCGTAACATAAGAGACCGCCGTTGCTAGTCACTTACCTCCGCATTATAGTGGTTCCTCGCAGGCAAGACACCACTACTCGCCCTGTCTTCTCCCCGTCTTTTTGCACCCCTTACCGTTCCTCCGCTCCCCATCTCGCTCTTTCATTCCCCAACCGTCTGTTTTCCGCGTCCGACCCTTCCCCCCCACTCCGCGGTCCGGCTTTCGTGTTCACTTCCCCATACGCGTCCCCGTTCCCCTTTTTCCTCGCCACCCTTCCCCTACCCGCTTATCCCGCCGCAGATCCCGCGACTGGGACTTCCCAAGATCCGACCCAGACCGATCAATCTTCCTCTTCCGCCGTCGGCCAGCCTATAACCTCTGAAGCGGGACCTTCCACCGCTACTGTTGCGGCGCCCACGGGGAACAGAGTCTACATTGTGCGCATGCGCGGAGTTCCCCCGCTCGCGGGATACACTGGCGGAATCGCGGGGTACGAGGCCACGGCTCCGCGCACTCGCGCGGCGCAATGGGCGGCCGCGGCGGGGCAGCGCCTCCGCCAGCGGCTTCCGCGGATCAATCTCCGCAAGGGGCCCGCGAAGGCGTTCGCGAAAATGCTCGGGCGCATGCAGGAGAAGGTCGCGAAGGATATTAATCTCCCAATGAAAAACGTCCTCTACAGTTACAAGTTCGTCAGTAACGGATTCGCGGCGACACTCTCGCAAGATAAAGTGGAGCAACTTAGGAGGCATCCCGACGTTGCTGACGTGTTTCCGTCGTACACGATGCACAAGCTGACGATGGACTCGGCGGATTTCTTACAGCTGCCCGACAGCTTGTGGGCCGTGAATGGCGGGCAGGCTAACGCGGGAGAAGACGTGGTGGTGGGGATCGTGGACACGGGCATCTGGCCCGAACACCCCTCGTTCGCCGATAACGTGCGTTGAGACATCGAGGCGTCGAGATGCTGAGAAGCTGAGAGCAGGCACGGAAAGGAGGAGAGGGGAGGAGAGGGGGAGGGCGGAAGGTAGATTGAAGTTTGTTTAGCGAGCTCGTTGCATTCTCGAGAGCATCTTTGTTTGGTAAATATGGGGTAATGCGAGGAGCGAGAGAGCGCGGGCGCGCGCGAATAGCTGCTCATTTGCGCACAACTCATCTCATTTCCTCCCAACCTCCTTTCCCCGTCCCCTCTATTCACCCCCCCGGTCCCATTTTCCCGCGTCTCTCCCACCTCTCCGCCTCCCTCTCTCCAGACCACCGTCCCGTACGAAGCGCCCCCCGCGTCGTGGCGCGGCGTGTGCCAGACGAGCGACGACTTCCCCGCGTGCAACAACAAGCTCATCGGCGCGCGGTTCTTCAGCGCCGGCTTCCGCGAGATGACCGGCGACCTGGAGGACCTCACGTACGACTGGGCCTCCGCGCGCGACGCGGACGGCCACGGCACGTGGTGTGCGGCGTAAGTCACGGGCACGCAGGGAGGGAGGGAGGGAGGGAGGGAGGGAGGGAGGGAGGGAGGGAGGGAGGGAGGGAGGGAGGGAGGGAGGGAGGGAGGGAGGGAGGGAGGGAGGGAGGGAGGGAGGGAGGGAGGGAGGGAGGGAGGGAGGGAGGGAGGGAGGGAGGGAGGGAGGGAGGGAGGGAGGGAGGGAGGGAGGGAGGGAGGGAGGGAGGGAGGGAGGGAGGGAGGGAGGGAGGGAGGGAGGGAGGGAGGGAGGGAGGGAGGGAGGGAGGGAGGGAGGGAGGGAGGGAGGGAGGGAGGGAGGGAGGGAGGGAGGGAGGGAGGGAGGGAGGGAGGGAGGGAGGGAGGGAGGGAGGGAGGGAGGGAGGGAGGGAGGGAGGGAGGGAGGGAGGGAGGGAGGGAGGGAGGGAGGGTTTGAGTGTTGGGCTGGGAGTGAGGAGGGTAAGGGACATTGCAGTGAGAGCAACAGGTTTACTTTCCTCTCATACTTGCCTGTTCTTCCTCCTACTCCCTTCCTGTCCCCCCGTTTCCCCCCGTTCCCTCCGCGTTTCTCCGCGTCGCCCCCTCTCAGAGCGGCGGCGGGCAACGGCGACGTGGACGTGACGACGCGCGGCCGTCTCGTGGGCACGGCTTTTGAGTCGACTCTAAAGTTTTTCCCCGTTCCCCCGCGTTCCCTCCGCTTTTCTCCGCGTTCCCTCCTCTCAGAGCGGCGGCGGGCAACGGCGACGTGGACGTGTTCACGACGCGCGGCCAGCTCGTGGGCATGGCGTCAGGAATGGCGCCGCGCGCGCGCGTCGCGGCGTACAAGGTGTTCTGGTCCAACTCCAACTCAGGCGGCTTGACCGCGGCGTGGGCGGACATCGAGGCCGCCGTGAACTACGCCGTGGCGGACGGCGTGGATGTGCTCAGCCTGTCGCTGGGCGGCCTGGATCCCGAGGCGACCTATTTCGACGACATGCCTTACCTCTACGCCAACCTCGTGAGTTCGCCCGATGCGCTGCCCTGCCCTGCGCTGCGCTGCGCTGCCCTGCGCTGCTCTGTGCTGTGTGCGTGTGCGCGTATGCGCCTGTGTATTCTCGTCTGCGTTTTGCGGGGGAGATTGTGTTCGGATGTTCGTGCTTCTTTTTCAAGCTTGAACCCTTCCTCCCTTCCTTGCGTCCTTGTCTCACCTCCTCCTGCCTCCGCCTCTCCTCTCCCTCACCCTTGCCCTCCCCTCGCCCTCACCCTCGCCCTCCCCTCCAGGCGAACGTGGCAGTGGTGTACGCAGCAGGAAATTCCGGGCCCCCTTCGACCGGCGGTCAAATGTACCGCACGCTCTCCAACTTCTCGCCCTTCTACCTCACCGTTGGCGCCAGGTAAGAGGGCCGCCCTGCCGGCACCACACACACAGCGCGACGCACCGCGCACCACCGCACACCATCTCTCAGCATCCTGCAGCATCGCGGTTTGCCACACCCCTTGACTTTCTCCTCACAATCCCCCCTCCCCCCCCCCAACTCCCCCATCGCTTCCTCTCGCCCATCCCCCCATCGCGCACTCCAGCACCATAGGTCGGCGTTTCCTCACCACAATCACCCTCGGAGACGGCACAGAGATACAAGGCTCCGGCTTTGGAGCAGGAGGCACCGAACCTGACACAGCGCCCATAATCGAGGGCCTAGCAGCGCGCCGAACCGGCATCACCGTTGGCAAATCTGACCAATGCCTGCCCTACGCGCTCGACGCGACCAAGGTCGACGGGAAATACGTGCTCTGCTCGTACGGCGGCGTGCCGACCTCCGAAAAGGTTTCTGATCTCATGATGAAGGGAGCCAAGGGGATTCTGCTCCTGAACATTCCGCATGCTCTGGAGCCTTTCACGCCGTACGATGAGCGTATGCCGGTGATTTACCTCCCATTCCTCGCGTCTGACTCGCTAAGGACGTACGTCCGGTCGACTTCCTCCCCTACTATCACTCTCTCGACGGATTTCGAGCGGAATATGGATCTTGCCGCGCCCGCCATGGCGTATTTCTCCTCCACCGGCCCTGTCGCGAACCCCTACGCGACGGTCGCCGCGTCGCGCCCGTGCAACGACATTCTCAAGCCGGATATTACTGCTCCCGGCGTGTCTCTGTGGTCCGCGTGGCGCGGCTCGAGCCCTGGCGCGGATTACGGGTTCTCCATGATTTCGGGGACGTCCATGGCGACGCCGCACATGGCGGGGATTGTTGCGCTGATTGTGCAGCAGCACCCGAACTGGACCCCCGCGCAGATATTTTCCGCAATTATGACAAGCGCGACGGTCACAGATACCAAGGATCAGAAGATCCAGCTCAGCAGCGGCGTGGCCGCGACCCCGTGGGATATGGGCGCAGGGCACGTGAACGCAGAGGGAATCCTCGACCCCGGGCTGACCTACAACGCCGGTGCTTCGGATTATTATAATTTTCTCGCCGGGCAGGGATTGGCCAAGGCGCGCGGATTGCTTGGCACGCGAAACCGCCTGGTTGCGATGAAGCCGTACATGCTGAATCGGCCCACCATCGCGGTTTCCCGGCTGAGCAAATCGGTGACCGTCACGCGGACAGTCACGAACGTCGGGTCGGCGCCGTCAAACTACACGGTTTCGTGGGTCGCTCCGCAGGGCGTGACGGTTCTGGTTACTCCTTTGAAGTTGTCGCTGCCTGTGGGTGGATCTGCGACGTACACTGTGAAATTTTCGGTGACGACCGCGTCGTGGGAATTCAAGTACGGGCGTCTGACGTGGAAGGACGCCTACGGGCATGTCGTGAAATCCGTGATCGCCGTGCAACCCATCGTCAAGTGAGTTCCCTCCTGACCTGGTTTTGTTACGATTTCCTTATGGTTTTGGTTCTGTTCTTCTCAAATATGTACATTTCATCCGTTTGTACCGTATTTCAATATCTCTAGCCATGCATACATTGGAGCGAGTGCAACGTCTGAGGCCACCTTCACTAACCAGACCTTCTTCCACTCCCGCACTCACTGACCCTGTTCGTTCTTCCCTTTCCCTCATTCAGGGATACCGCCTCAACCGCACGCAAACAGAGCAGCCGGAAGCTCTAGTTACAACGCTACAGACCAACTGCACGTGGCAGCAGCATGAGGTGCCGAAACAAGCTGGCGATCTGGATTTCTCGGGAAGGGATGTGGAAGTGTTAAGTGAAGGGTGACGTGGAGGGGAAAGTGGCGTGGAAGGGGGGAAGAGGGGAGGAGGACTCAGAGGGCCGCGGTACAACTTACTCGGCGGGGGAGAGAAAGCAAAAGTGTGCTTGCTGGAGGGCTGTCAATATTGCCCCACATGGAAGTTGGTTGCTTTTGCTTGCAGCAGAGACAAACCCGCTGTGACCCGAATGCTTGGATTCTATCTCCCCCCAAGGGAGGTGGATGGGAGGGAAGGTAGTTGAAGGGACGAAGGGAGAGGGGAATTGAGGATGCAGGAATGACAGGGAGAGTGAGAAGTGATAG